GCCACTGTTTCCCACTCGCAGAGGCCGAGTTCAAATGGTTCGGACAGCGCTAAAGTTTGTGTCCGTCTCCAGTGCCCCAGATGCTGGCCATGATGGTGGACCTGGAGGACGACGACGAGTGGGCCATGGCCGACGAGCTGGAGGACGATGACTTTGACAGTAATGCCGTAGCGGGGGAGAGCGCTCTCGATAGAATCGCCTGTGGCCTCGGAGGAAAGATCATCCTGCCCATGATCAAACAGCACATCATGCAGATGCTGCAGAACCGTGAGTAACCCGACGCCGCTGCTTGTAGAGCTTCTCTTCCAATCGGGCCCTCGGTGTGAACACAAGATGTACCTGTCTGTCGCCAGCTGACTGGAAGTACCGCCACGCCGGGTTGATGGCGCTGTCGGCCATCGGCGAGGGCTGCCACCAGCAGATGGAGGCCATCCTGCAGGAGATCGTCAGCTTCGTCCTCCTTTTCTGCGCCGATCCCGTAAGGAACTGCTCAAACCCCGATTGTCACGTTTAGGCATTTGTTTAGTGACTAACTTTGCACTGCAGTGTGTTTCTCGTGTGCTGAGTTTGGCTTCCCTTTTCCCTCTTCAGCACCCGAGGGTGCGCTACGCCGCCTGCAACGCCATCGGACAAATGGCAACAGACTTCGCCCCGACCTTCCAAAAGAAATTCCACGACAAGGTAAGAAACGACCTGTACGGGCCGCGATGAGCGTGCACTGCTGTGGACACTGACGCCGCGCCCGCCTCCCTTTCTAGGTGATCGCCGCCTTGCTCCAGACCATGGAGGATCAGAGTAACCCCCGCGTGCAGGCGCACGCCGCCGCCGCCCTCATCAACTTCACGGAGGACTGTCCCAAATCGCTGCTGATCCCGTATCTGGACAGCTTGGTGCAGCACCTCCACGTCATCATGGTGGCAAAGCTGCAAGAGGTACAAATGCGTCTCCTCTGATGTGTTAAATCAGTCAATCAGGACGCGCTATGTAAAGACTCTTAACTGTGTGTGTGTGTGTGTGTGTGTGATACCCCCGCCACCCTCCTCCTAGTTGATCCAGAAGGGCACCAAACTGGTCCTGGAGCAAGTGGTGACGTCCATCGCCTCGGTGGCGGACACGGCCGAGGAGAAGTTTGTGCCGTACTACGACCTCTTCATGCCCTCGCTCAAACACATCGTGGAGAACGCCGTGCAGAAGGAGCTGCGGCTGCTCCGCGGCAAGACCATCGAGTGCATCAGCCTCATCGGGCTGGCAGTGGGCAAGGAGAAGGTACATCTGTCTAAGCCCCCCCCTCCTCCTCCTCTCACACACACACACACACACACACACACCCCTAGATCTGTAGAGTGACTCTTCTTCACAGCCGTCCCTTCCTGCACTGTTCACAGTTCATGCCGGACGCCTCGGCCGTCATGCAGCTGCTCCTGAAAACCCAGACGGACTTCAACGACCTGGAGGACGACGACCCTCAGGTGCGGGGGGGGTCGGGAGTGGAGCCATGAGTGACACTTTGAGCCATCGTCCGGTTGTCTTGACGTTTCCGTCGCAATGTGGTGACCCCGTTTGCTGTGGTTTAGATCTCGTACATGATCTCGGCGTGGGCCAGGATGTGCAAGATCCTGGGGAAGGAGTTTCAGCAGTACCTGCCGGTGGTGATGGGCCCCCTGATGAAGACGGCCTCCATCAAGCCCGAGGTGGCCCTGCTCGACAGTAAGCACACGCATAAAGGCTACATTTGTATTTTCCTTCATTCGAGTGCTTCGATGCCACAAAGCAGCGGCAGCGTTTAGAATCCGTCCCGTCTGTCCCGCAGCCCAGGACATGGAGAACATATCTGAGGAGGACGGCTGGGAGTTCGTCAACCTCGGCGACCAGCAGAGCTTTGGCATCAAGACGGCGGGCCTGGAGGAGAAGGCCACAGCCTGCCAGATGCTGGTGAGAAACGGCGATGCCGGAGATGTTCCCCCGTCATGCCCGTGTGCGTACAGTGGCTGAGCTGCTCCTTGTGGTTTACTCCCCCAGGTGTGTTACGCCAAAGAGCTGAAGGAGGGCTTTGTGGAGTACACGGAGCAGGTGGTGAAGCTGATGGTTCCTCTTCTCAAGTTCTACTTCCATGACGATATCCTTTCAGACTTGAGCTACAAACGGAGGGGGGGGGGGGTTGTGGTGTCTGTGTGAGGAAGAGAAACCGTGAGGCTCGTCGTGTGCGTTTCCCCCCTTAACTGTCTCACGTGTGCGTGTGGCGGCGGCGGAGTCCATGCCCTTGCTGTTGGAGTGCGCGCGGGTCCGGGGGCCGGACTACCTCACTCAGATGTGGCACTTCATGTGCGACGCTCTCATCAAGGCCATCGGCACGGAGCCGGACTCTGACGTCCTGTCGGAGATCATGCACTCCTTCGCCAAGTGCATCGAGCTGATGGGAGACGGCTGTCTGAACAACGAGCATTTCGAGGAGCTGGGCGGCATCTTGAAGGGGAAGCTGGACGAGCATTTCAAGAACCAGGAGCTCCGACAGAGTGAGACTTGATCCCAGCCAGAGAGAAAAAAAGCTCCTCCTTTTTAGTTTGTGTGTGCGTTTCTGCGTAATCCTCACACTTCTTTGCTCTTCACAGCCAAGAGACAGGATGAAGACTACGACGAGCAGGTGGAGGAGTCATTGCAGGACGAGGTAAACGTTTTCACCTCAAATAGGAAGAAGAGGTGAGATTTGGATACGGCACCAGCCCTCATTTTCCCCTCGTCTTCTTCTGCAGGATGAGAACGACGTGTACATCCTCACCAAAGTGTCCGACATCCTGCACTCGGTGTTCAGCAGCTACAAAGAAAAGGTGCTGCCGTGGTTCGAGCAGCTGCTGCAGCTCATCGTCCAGCTGATTGTGAGTACTTCCTGTTTTTCACCACTACGTCTGCAGTCTTACTGGTACACGTTTTTGAAGACCGACTAAGGGTCCGACCGAAAGTGACTGACCCCGTCTCCAGTGTCCCAGCAGGCCGTGGGCGGACCGGCAGTGGGGTCTGTGCATCTTCGACGACGTGGTGGAGCACTGTAGCCCCGCCTCCTTCAAATACGCCGAGTACTTCCTGCGGCCGATGCTGCAGTCGCTGTGCGACACGAGCCCCGAGGTGCGGCAGGCGGCGGCCTACGGCGTGGGCGTCATGGCTCAGTACGGAGGGGAGAGCTACCGCCCGTTCTGCACAGGTACGCTCCTCCCTTCACACGTTTACGTTACCATGGCAGCAGATTGCGTTCGTTAACTCGACGAGTTTGTCCCCTCCATCCAGAGGCCATCCCGCTGCTGGTGAGGGTCATCCAGGCGGCCGACTCGCGCTCCAAAGAGACCGTCAACGCCACGGAGAACTGCATCTCCGCCGTCGGGAAGGTCATGAGGTTTCGGCCAGAGTGCGTCAACGTCAACGAGATCCTCCCCCATTGGCTCAGCTGGCTGCCACTCAACGAGGACAAAGAGGAGGCGGTGCACACGTTTGACTTCCTGTGCGACCTCATAGAAAGGTGGGGGCGGCCCTCAAATGTATTTTCTTTACATTTATTGTGTTCAAACTCTCACTCCCCTACTTCTATCTCGCCTCCGCAGCAACAACCCCATTGTCCTCGGGCCGGACAATGCCAACCTGCCAAAAATCTTCCTGATTATCGCCGACGGGGTGGCGAACGAGTCGGTGAAGAGCGAAGACGCGTGCAGCAAGCGGCTGGCCAACGTCATCCGCCAAGTTCAGGTGAGCGCCCGCGGCGACTCAGCCGGGGAGGATTCCCACGTACGGGGAGACGCCGCTGACTCGGTTGTGACCTTTGTGTGCGTGTGTCCCCAGGTGTCGGCGGGTTTATGGACGCAGTGCGTGTCGACGCTGAACGAGACGCAGCAGAAAGCCGTGCAGGAGCTCCTGAACACCGCCTGAGCCCCCCCACCACCACCCCCCCGCTTCAATGCAAAACACGAGTTCCTGGATCTCCTCCGTATCCCCTTTTGTTCCTCCTGCTCTGAGCCGTTGTGTGTGTGTGTGTGTGTGTGTGTGTGTGTGTGTGTGTGTGTGGACGCTGGCCTCAAAGCCCCCTTACCCTCCCTCACCCGCCCCCACCATCATTGTCTAACCCCGCCTACATTCAGCCGACTTGGAGGAGCAGGTTGGATATTTATGACAATGGAGGACATTGGCCATCCACCCTCAACGCCTTTCACCCAGTATCAAGTGTCAGGTGTCTCTCCCCCCCCAACAACAACCCACCGTCTTATCGCGGTCTTCCATCTGGACGTTTTTGTTTCCAACCATTCCCAACGTTTGACTCGTCTCCCCCGTCGAAGAGAGGGACTCATTCTCCACGCCGCCCAACAGACTTATTGGACAGTCAGGCTCAAATGGAGCCGGGGGGGATGCATTGTAGTGGACTGAGCAATTGAACGAGGTGGAAATGCACACTGGGGCAACAAACCGCCGATTTATTTTTGTCTACTTCCGTGTTACCGGTGGGGGGGAGAAGCAGCCCAGAGGAAGTGTTTGAAAAAGTAACGGCATGTTAAGTGGCAAACTGTTAGAAAACCAAACCCATTCATAGTTAGGAAGTTTACGTTGTTGTCTGGGAAAGGTGTTTTTCTCCTTGGGAAATGTTTTTTGGGGAGAGGTCCCCCCCCCTTCCAGGTAGCAAGGAGGGGGGGTGGGCACGCGTCTGTAGTCGGGTCATGGCCACGTGACGCGTGAAATGAATTGTAGAATATTTGTAAAATGCGTGTTTCCATACTATTAACTTTATGGTTTTGAACCTATGCAGCCCTGAAGGTATGCGACCGGATTTCAGTAACTACCAACAATAAAAGTCCATTTGAGAAGTTATTTTTGATTTATTCTTTTTTTTTCTTGCTAAAATCTACCCCAATCTCAATTGTAAAACATGATCGACAATCTGTTCTATCCTCTACATTTTCCTTTATGGATGTAAAAGGGTATAAATACTGTGGTGTAACATGCATGTTGCATTTGACAAACACCAGTTTGAATAGAGCAGCCATGCTTTATTAGGACATGTAGAACAGCAAAGAAGTTTAAAGTAACCCTTTCAACCCAACTGTCAATTGTGAGCCGCAAGTGTTTCTCAGTTTTACATGTATTCGTTTAATAAGCTCTGTGACCCAGTACATGAATTGGGGTTTTTCCACGTCTACAGCAATAATCTATTTCACTTATGTCCATTATGACCACTAAAGTTGGCTGTCTGAATCCCGAGACCAGCTGGGGTGGGTGAGGGGGGGGCGCTTCTGATACATTTCAGGTGAGAGGGGGACTTTTCAGAGGCGTGTCGTGTTTGGTGGGCCAATTATAGTGAGCTAGTTAAACAAATGGTATCACGTGTGCAGGTAGTCCAGGCGCTCTGAGGATCCATTATAATCCCGATTAAAGCATCACGTTCGGATTTAAATTAACTACCAGAGCAGAGAATATGGTATTTACAGAGCGGACAATTCACATTGAAATAGGGGGAGTTTAGCCTCACAGGACCGACTGTCTGCTTCTCCCTTCCTTCGTCTTTCCTGGTTAATTTTCATCCATCCAGTCTCTTCTTCGACGTCGTCCCTCTATTGGAGCATGTCCACAAAAGCGTCAAACTCGTCGATATTTTTCTCATAGACAGCAAGTTTCTCTGGCAGTGAGTCCTGTGGACAAGAGGGTAATGTGGTCTTTTTTTGTTTGTTACTGGTTTAAAGAGCTGTTTTTAAAACAAGTGTGTTACCAGGTCGTCGGCCATGGACTGGGAGCTGATGTGCAGCGAGAGGCTGGCTAGCTGGGGGGGGTTTTGAAACTCTCTGTAGAAGGTGCCCAGATCCATCGGCAGCAGGTCGTCTTTAGAGAAGGCCGGACGCTACACACAGAAGAAGAAGCGCTCCTTTCATTCTCAACGGCTCCAGAATTAGTTACTTATGACTAAAATAAAACCATGTATAAAGTAATTTGGATTTTATTCTGATGGCAGGCGACACTTCCAGACTTAATGCTAAGCTGCCTGGCTGCTTTCCTATTGACCTTTCCAAGCAGCAGTTCAGAATAAAGCACCGCTACGTGTTGAAATATGCATTAATGTTTTACCCCCAAGTGGAAAGCAAAGAAATACGCACAAAGTCGACCATGACAAAGTCGTCCTGCGGTCCCGATCCCTCGGAGTCTTGAGAATGGAGGCTGGCCTGCAGGGGTGAGGGGCAAGTGGGGGAGTCTGGAGGCTGCACCTAAAACGCGCAGTACAAACGTTCCAAAGGACACTCAAAGCATCACGCTGTATGAGGGGCATTTTGTACATGATATTCACCATGGGATCACTGTCCTCCGAGTCCAGGCCTCGAGGAGCGAACGCAGCAAATGGCAGGTCCAGACCGGCTGCTGTTTGTATCTACACACACACACACTGGCTTAAACTCTACACAAACAACCTGCAGCACATCCCCGACCTCACAGAACCCAATTCCCTTTGGTTCGTACCGGCGCGTTGGGTTTATTGACGAAGGCTCCGATCTTCCTGGTGAAGGCGTTCAGAGACTCCAACGGGTCGGAGGGGGAGGGCTGCTCGTCCCGCCTGCGGCCGCCGTTCTCGCCCGGCGTGTTGGCGACGTTCTCCGCCGCCAGATGCGCGTCGGCGCCGTGAGCGGGTTGGGCGGGGTTCGACGCGACCCCTCCGTGCTCCTTCCCAGCATGCAGCCCCTGAGGAGGAAGAGGAGCCGCTTTACAGCAGACCGAGTGGATCTGGAATTTGACTTCTCCAATAAATGCATCTGTGTTTTCCGAGTGGTTGGTGCATCACCTGGTTTGCAGCAGGGTGACCGAGCTCAGCAGCTCCTGCTTGAGGATGATACGATAATCTGGAGGCGTAAAGCTGGAGACACGAGGGCGGGCAGAAAAGGAAGGCGGGGATTTGAATACACACTGCTTTTTCAGGGCGTCAAGAGTCACGCTCTTCAGATGGACAGTTTACTACGCAGCACAGATGAGACATCGTAACACTCTGGGCCGAGGTGAGCGATGAAGCATCACTACAGTCATACGTGACGATGAGAAAAACAATGAGGCAATTCTGACACACACACACACACACACACCAAGACAAATGAGTCAGCGGAATGATTCACAGTGCGTTTTGAGGTTGATTAAACAAACCCAGCGGCCAGTATAAACTCACAGTGTGAGTGACAAGTCCCGGAGCCAGAGGAAGCGGCAGACTGTCCAGCGGGAGGGGCTTAGACAGTTTAGAGGGCGAAGGACTCAGCGTGCACACACACTGAGAGCCGGCGCCCGGAACGACACACACAGAGATAAACACGATAAAAAGACGACAGGACAGAAAACGGGCAGAGAGAAAAAAGGGGAAGTGAAATAAAGAGCAGGTATGAAAATGGAGAGTATAAAGGAAGAGGCAGCAAACTGTGCCCTCTCACCTGTGAGGGGGGGGAGGTGGAGAAGGAGGTGGTGCAGACCTCCTGTGAATCCTGAACCCCCGCGTATGGTCCTCCGTCGTCATCATCCGGGGCTCTGAACACACATGAGTCATAAATGAGAAGATTCAACTGAGGGTCCGACGGATTGCGAGGTCGCGACCCGACGGAACCTGCGGGTTTCGTTGCGCGCGGCTTGGCGTCGCTACCTGTAGTTGCAGGGATGTCCCATGTTGGCGGTGCGCGGGCCGCTGCCGGGAGGATCCACAAAGTGATCCACGATGATCCCCATGATCGGAGCCGAGCGCTCAAACTGCCTGCGGGGGGAGGGACAACATTTCAACAGCGTGCTGGTTATTGACTCGCTCGGACTTTGTCGAGCTAATGGTCATATTTTTGTTCAATGCCAAACCCGTGTTGCTTTTACATGTAGCGTGTCAGTGACCTGTTGGACATGAAGGCCAGGTTGGTGCGGTAGGCGCATGAAAGCGTGACCGTGCCGACCGGGGTGCCGACCACGCCGGCGCGCACGGTCTGAAAACCTCGGGAGACAAACGGCACGTTTCAGTGAGCAAACGGGTCCGCTTATGGAACGCACATATACGTATATGGACACACTACACAGGTTACTATTATTTTGTTTATCCAAAATATGATGTCGTCGGCCTCATATGTAACGATACAACTTGGCTGTGATAAGGAAAGTACTCTGAAAGGTCAAACGTGTTCTGGGGCCGTTAATTACCCGTTTTTTTTAAGAATTCACCTTAGTCTGTAAGGTTTTAAACATAATGCAGTTGCACCTCTGCGTAAACTTCCTACTGTTATGGATACGGTAAAGCACATTGAGTGTTGATGCCAGTGGCGGCGTTCGCGGTTACCTTCTCCTAATCCACTCAGCTGGACTTCCCCGAAGTAAATCCTACACACGAGAGATGCAGAAACAAGACACGTCTCATTCACCGGTTATGGACAACGGGACGGATCAGATCAGAGCCGGTGGTTCATGCTCACCGGTATAATATGACGTAGTCGTGACCCTGCTTTCTGGATAGCTTGTAGGCAGGCGTTACTCTGGTGATGGCCAGCAGAGACTTGAGCAGGACAGACAGACGGTTGTAGACTGTATAGGACACCTTGATGTCTTTATCGCACCTGCAGCAGAGACAGAGACAAAATGACTCGTTAAAAATCAGCAGCGTGGCACTATTTCACATAGAAGGTAAGCCATTTATAATTCATTTATAACTCGAAGCATCAGACAGTAGCTGCTGGACGGGATTTGCTTTTTGTGCGGCTTCACTGGTCGGTTGCTCACGAAGCCGCTTAAACGCTTTCATAACGTTTTGGCAGAAATAAGCACAAGTGCAGCACGCGATAAAGTGAGGTAATCATGTGCATCCTGTGCAACTTCATAGAGGCACAGACACACTAAGAGCTTTGATAAACCTTTTACTTTTCCAATATGGCCATTGAAATAATTTCAGAAAACCACTCACTTTTCATTCATTTCCAGGCACCAAGTCTCCAACTCCATTGAGTCACCCTGAAGAGACAGGAGACACACACAAATATAAAAGATACATATATAGTTACATTTTTTTAATAAACAGAAGTAAATGACAGTACTATATGTTGTTGTCAACAGAGACCTTTCATTGTTAATTAACCTGATACCTGAAGTTATTTTTTGTTATATTTTAATAAAGTCCCTGCACTGTTTTGAAGCACAGGAGAGGATTGGCCTCTTTAGGGAGGTTTTACCTCTGACGTCTTGAGGGAGATCTCGACACACATGGAGCGCCCGATGCCGGGAAGTTGGCCGGCCAAAGCTTTCTTGGCTTCATGAGTCACCTCTGGGATGTCTTTGATGGCCAAATTAAACTGGAAGAAATAATAACATCTTTACGGAAAAAAACAATAACTGTCAAAGCCAGCTACACAGATGTGAAGAGCTACAGTGAACCCCAAATCTGAACAATAACCAAAGAGTAAAAGGAAGACTTTGTTATTTTACCCAATCAGAACCAGTAGGCGATGAAGACGAGCGAGTGCAGATCTTCTCTCCAAGACGAGCTTGGACAATCACCTGGACTGTCTACACACAGGACATAAGAAACATTAGTGTCACCAGCAGGGGGGTTCGCCAAAGAAATATCAAATAAAACCAAACCCACGACGACAACACACCCAACACCTCAAAATGTCCCCTGGGAGACAGACAATCACAGAAGCTACGTTCGCATCGTATACTGGACACAGAAGCGCCTTTCTGGCTTTTTACCTTCAAGGCGAAGAACTTAATGAACTTGTCCAAGTCTTTTTTATCCTGGGGACTCAGGCCACTGTCCATGTTGTCAAGACCCTGTAATCAAAGAGCACAAACCTATAGAGACGAACACATCTCAAAGCAGCGGTTGTGATCCACTTCAAGCGATGACAAAACATTTGACACTTAACTTCAATTTGAATAACTATGGTTCCTGGCCAGGCCAACACACTCATTTTGCCACAGCATTTGAAATCACAATGAATGTAGTAGTATAGTCAAAAATACATTATAAATTATTATGAATAAATGTGAACTGTTTGTAAATATTTACACCCAACATTTAGTCTACAAAACTCAATAACAAAGCCAATTTGGAACAAAAAACGTATATATTGAGTCCACATGCAAGCTTACTTTGCTATCTGCCAATATAATATTATAAACTGGCAGCATGTACAACACAATTTGGATTCTGCGTTAAACATTAACTTAACCTTCCTATCCGTAGACCATCTGTTAAATTAGAAGTGAGGCCTCCACTTCAGGTTCGGATGAAATTGTCCTGATAAATGTATTTGGAGGTCGGATTAACCGAAAACATGCGGACAACCGCCGGAAACGGTACACTACACCACCTGTGACATGTTGTTATAAAGTGCAACACCTTATTTTCGTGAACAATAACTTCACGTTAACGTTTCACAAAGGGGAGAAACGGCCACTGCATACGTGACTCACTGACCAACTGGCGTTAGCCTGTGGCTAATGCTAGTTAGCTAGCTACATTTCACGCACTTCAACGTCATGACATAACAGCAAAACTTACATTAGGCTTTTCCAGAGGAAGGTAGCTTCAATGATATACACGTTAATTTAGTAAATATTGCATGAGAAGCGGTGTTCCACGCACATTTAAACGCCAAATGCAGATGTAAACAACGTCAAAAGCGGCTGAGCTACTTTTCTGTTTATCTTCTCCATGTCGACGTGTTTGGATAGCAACACTTTCACAGCGGCACTTTCGTTCACACTGCTAATGTCTGGAAAATGCATATTTGTACATATAAATCAAATACAAAGACATATACTTCAAAAACATTGACAATATAGGTTTGAGTTATTAATTTAAAACGAATATCTGAACATAAGAAACATTCCCATTACTGTCGAATCTGTGAAGGTAAACCGAAAGATGGTTGTTCCTGGGGTTTGTTGAGGTGGTTAAGCTGCATGACTTCTGTGCCAATGCTAAAGGTAACTGTCCTTTTCTTAACTAAGAAAACAACATGTATTATCCTTTAATTTTCGCGTAGTGTAACGTAACAGCTATTTGTAGAGTCAACTCCACAAGCACGCATAACGTTTGCTGAAAATGGGAAAAGCTCGGTTGCCAGCTAGCTAGTTAGCGTCCTGGCTTTATTTGCATACAGGTTTTCTGTGCTGTTAACCTCGACCGTCCATCGGCAATATAACATTATAAAATAGAATAAATCTAGTACAATCCCTACAGTATACTAAAACATATGTCACACGCATTGGGGTTTTCAATTCATACAATCTTATAATCATCTTATAGAAATCGAATAGGACTACAACAAGCTTGCCATTGGCGCAAATTATTAATTGGTATTCATGTGTTTTTGCCCCCAGCATGGCCATCCCTATAGCCATCCTGGACTGTGATCTGCTCTTACATGGTCAAGGCCATAAGACCCTGGACCGCTTTGACCTGGGCGCCGTCCCGGACACTGTCCTCCTCTCGCAGTTTGGCTTCCCGAGAGAGTTTATTCTCTATCTGGTGGAATTACTAAGAGAGGTTAGTGTGTGCTCGTGCTACGTTTTTAATAATCTCATCCAGTTAACTGTCCATTTAAATGTGTTTCTGTGTTCCAGGCTCTCTGTAGACGCACACAGCGATCCAGAGCCATCAGTCCTGAGGTCCAGGTGTTGGCCGCTCTGGGCTTCTACACATCTGGCTCATTCCAGACTTCTATGGGCGATACTATAGGGATCAGCCAGGCATCAATGTCGAGATGTGTATCTAACGTGACTAGAGCCCTGGTGGAGAAAGCTCCTCAGTTCATCACGTTCAACAGGTGTGTTACCATGCTGGATTATAGATGTAAACCAAAAGTTTGACATATTTCAATAACAGCAATATTTATGCTTCACATACAGAGATCCCTCCAGCACAGAGCAGTTTCAGAGGGTTGCAGGATTCCCAGGAGTCCTGGGGGTGCTGGACTACATTCAGGTGTACTACCTTATACTGTATTCTTAGAACTTCAAACACTTACACATGTACATACAGGACGGTCTAACTGACGCCGTGTTCCATTCGTCTCCAGGTCACTATCAAAGCTCCCAACAGCGAAGACTCATCGTACGTGAACAAGAAGGGATTTCACTCCGTGGGCTGTCAGCTGGTTTGTGATGCCAGGGGATTGTTACTCAGCGCGGAGACACACTGGGCAGGAGGACTCAGAGACACGGATGTCTTAAAAAGATCTACTCTCCACAAACAGCTGCAGGAGTTAGAAGATGGTTGGCTGCTGGGTGAGCTGTGGTTTTTCAGCATTCACTGCACTACTTTAAGCCTGAAAAAAGGTCCCTGAAAGGAATAAAGTCTTATTCTGTTTCCAAGGGGACCGTCGCTACCCTCTAAGGAGGTGGTTGATGACCCCGGTAGACTGCCCTGAGTCCCCTGCAGAGTTTCAATACAACCTGGCCCACGCGGCTACACATGAGATAGTGGACCGGACCTTCAGAGCCATCCAGACCAGATTCCGATGTTTGGACGGCACCAAAGGATACTTACAGGTATTCTATTCTGCGCTGAGCTCACCTCTGCTTGTAAAATGAAATGAAAACGCACACAGAGATCAGCAGGGTTCTGTCGGCCGGCTATCTCGTCTCCTCTCCTGTCCCCGCAGTATTCTCCGGAGAGGAGCTCGTCCATCCTGCTGGCCTGCTGCGTCCTTCACAACGCCTCCCTGCAGTCCGGGTTAGACGCCTGGACTCTGGAGAGAACCGACCCGCTAGAGCAGCCCGAGAGCCTCGAACAGAGACCCGAGGACCGCGACAGACAGGCGGAGGACCTGCGAAAACAGCTAATAGTCAAACACTTCAGCTGAAAGGCGGGTCGAAAGGAAAACAGGACTTAAATATATTTCTTTTTTTAAACAAATGACATGAAAGTTGTCATTTGAAGCCAGAAAGTACACAGACACGGTGTTGCTGATGCAGGTTTTTTATATTTTGCTTTTTTCTACTCTACGGACTACACTAAGATAACATAGTTGTATATGGAGGAACATGCAAGACGCTATACAACAAACCAAGACAACGTTGAAACCAAACACATTTGAAATAACTTGAGTTCCTGGAAAGCGCTTGATTATTTCTGCTCAAACATATTCATGAAGACGTCAGAATAATCAAGAGCTCCCCATTTTACAACAATTTGAACTGTGTGCAGCTGCTGTGTTATCAAAGTTTTTTTACAAGTGGAAAAGTTCCCCTCGCTTTTTTGGCAACCCCCCTTCCCTTACTCTTTACACATACTTTCCCCAAAAATCAAACAATTCTATCAATTGTTTTTCTTTCGAAGTGCTTCCACAGGTTAATATCTTGGACTTTGTCACAGTAAAACAACAACAAGGCCCTTATTTACAACAACTGCACATTAGGTCGTCATTATTTATGTACAACGGTGCTTGTAGACTGTTTTGGGGGAGAATGACTGGACGTCTGTTCTACGGCTGCAGTCACATGATGTTTTTACACAGTTTGAGGGACACACAATCGAACGGATAAAGTGGTGAATGAGGAAAAACGTAACTTTAAAAAAAAATAAAAAAGAATTTCTGAGTATTTGATCATTCTGAATCGTAATTATTTAATTTACTGGTTCAATTAATTATTTTTTTCTTTTCTCACATTGTCGGACTCGTGGTAAAGACTAACTGTCCCAGCGTTCCTTCAAATTGTGGAGATAACAAAGCTAGTGGTGATTTAGTTCCTGGAATGTATAAGTCCCCTGATTGGCTTCATCAATATATACACACTTTCTACAATAAATACAACATACACTGCTGTCACATGAGCCCATTCAACATCCATGTTGAGATGTTTCCTCCGCTGCTTCATTTGAGTCAATAGTTTTAATATATGACAGGAAATTATCTAAATAATGTCTGTTTGGATTATTTAAAATCCTGCAGGTTATTTGTGATTTGGTTGTGTCAGATTGGATTCAGTTAAATTGTACAAGCTAATGACATTTTTTAATTCATGAGGGGACAAAATCTTGTTCTTCATGCGACAGCAGTGAAACATAAACACTCTATTACAGTTAAAAGACACAAAGTTTCACACTCCATGAAACAGCATGTCAACTACACAGTCATGTAAAACTTCATCATCCTAAATGCAAAAACACAACGTACAATTACTTTTTTTTTCTTGCATAAAATAAATATGCTCTTTTTTTGATGCTCTGAATATATTATAAGTTGTATTTTGGGTTTTTTTGTAAACATTATTTAGAAAAACAGAACAAGACAATGGCAAACTTAACTTTTGAAAACACATTCGGTATTAATTTTTTTGTTGCATAAATAAAATATGCTCTTTTTTTGATGCTGCAAATATATTACATATGCAATTTTTGATTCCATAAAAATACTTTTATGTCATGTTTCCCAACCTCTGTCTGGACCCCTTTAACGGCCCCTTGAAGATACTGAATTTGGATGCAGAAAATTTAATTTAAAATAATATATTTACGTTTCCAGGGTTACAGCTTTAAGGCCAACTCGGTCTATATTTCTGAAGTGGAAGGCACTTTTAAAATGGCACAGCTTTCTTTTAGAAGGATGACTTCATGATTTAGTTTTTTTTTTACTCGATTACCCGTCTAGACGGACAGAAAATGAATCACGAAAAGTACAAACTCTCTAGTTCTATGTGAAGATGGATTGATTCATCGCAAAAATGTCCAAACTAATCACTAGTTGCAGCCCTTAGTCGACATACGGTATTTGACTGGTTAAAAAAATAAAATGGCGTAAGTAAAACACAATCTCCCACAGTGAAGGTCCGCCAAGTATCCATATACATGTGTTCTCAACAGGTGCAAGTGTGTATCGCTCTGTGTTGCCCATTAAGACCACAAAAGCTCTTTTTTTGTGCTAAATATCAGGTCTGTCACGTTGAGATGAGATAAAACTCTTTTGGCAAAGGTCCACTAGTTTGCACTGATATTTTTGTTAACATGCTACAAATAGCTTCTGTATTCTTTTAAGTTTATATTGTATCTCTAAAATATTCTGCATTAATTGTTTCAACTCAATATTAATAGATGCTATATTTGAATGCATAAAAGTTGAAATTGCAATCAGAGGGCCCCTTTAAAATCAAGCATCTGAGGTGTGGCAGAGCTGTCGTGGCTTTGGAGCATTCAGGGATCGCTCATCCGGACTCTGGTCCAGTTTGACTGAGGAATCTTCGGCCTGTTTCAGGGGTCAGAGGTCAGAGGTCGTGGGAGGACTCGTCAGGCGGCGTCAGAGGACGCGGAAGCCCCTTCTGGTTTTGTTTCTCTGGTGGCGAGACAAAAGAGGCACTCTGTTGATGCCAAACAGGACAACAGAAGTTCTTTTACACTGAGAGAGCGCGCACATATTTCCCACCTGCGGTCGGACTCGGGCCCGGTCGTCCGATTGCCGCCGTGGGCGTCCTCGGTGTATCGGCCCGCGTGGACGGCGCCGTCTGACTGTAGCCGCCCCTCTTCTGCTGCTACAGAAATCTCCTCCAAAGGAGCCCCCTCGTTATAGAAGAGCAGGCTGCGGGAACGAACTGCAACGCAACACAAGTCGTTTTTTCTTTAGATTGTACTGAACCTGGGAGGAGGGGATGGGGGGGTGGAATCATTGGCTCCTGGGGAAAGTTTCTGACAAATGCATGAGGTTGAATAATGTGTAGACTTACCCTGACTGGTGGTGTAAAGGTCCGCCGAAGGCAGTGGGGATGGGGAGGACGGACGTGGGGGGGAGGAGGATGAAGACAGAGAGGAGGTGTGAGTGAGCAAGGAGAGGGGGGAGAGGCAGGGGGAGAAGGAGCCCAGCACCAGGACGAAACACACGGCCACCATCTGCACGCAGAAGAAGAAACAAGCTCCATCCACCTGTGTCCTTCTCTTGAATGGAACATTCGATTCGACACAGTCGAGAGGTTAATCAACACCCTTTAATAATAAAATGACATTTACCATGAGGCATGTCCCGGTTTGAGTAGAGGCCATTTTACAGGAGCGGGGCATGATCTTTCCTGACACCAAAGATTGAAGCTTCTGGAGCTGCTGAAGGAGAGACCTAAAGAGACGGAAACAGATGCATGAAAGAAGGAGGAGGACAAAAGATTCAAGGAACGGCTGAGGATCTCTTTCCCCGAACTTCCCCCGGGAGGAAGTCACCTTTTCTTTCCCTGCAGGAAATTCCTCTCCTAAGCGGAGGGGAGCAAAGAGATCAGCAGAGTTGGACGTACCAGTGACACCAGCAGAATCAAGTGTCTCGGTGGGATCTGGAGAGCAGGGTCCCGATGGTACGAGCCGGCGGCGGCTGCGAGGACCCGCTCTGACCACCGGGGGGAGATAGAGGGCCGCATTCTGCTGGGAACCGGGCCCTTCGTGAGGTCACCGGGGTTGCCGGCTGTATTAAAATGATTTTGGGACGATGCTGACCAGCGTCACTTACACTCACTCCCTCTGGGGCTCTGACGTGAAACCACTGGGATTAACCGTTTCAATGATGGTTAATCATTACAGGTCAGGCGGGTTGACTCTGTGAGGGTTGTTTGTGTGTGTTTGTGTGTAAATAATCAGCACAAGAATGGAAAATTCAGAAGAAATTATTACATAAATCCAATTTTCTGCTGTTCAGGGGAGCTAGGCTAGCAGTTTCCCCCTGCTTCCAGTGTTTATGCTAAGCTAGGGCACATTTTAAATTACTATCAATGTGACTCTGCAAAGAAAGTCCGGCTTGAGATCTTTTAATACATATTTGATATTCCTTGGAGGGGAGGGGTCATTTTTGTATGACAAATAAGTTTGTGTTGGAGAACAAAACGACCACTAATACCTGCACTTGGGGGGATTTGTAGAAATGACAGGCTTAAATTAGGTTCACTTGTTTAGAAAAACTCTTTTTTTAGCCCGGCATACATTCTGGACTTTAAGTGAGAGTGAGCGAGCTGACTCATGTTCCCCAGTTTGTGCCAACTCATTGTTCCTTTATGTGGTGGTTTAACATATTCATCAGTGTGTGTGTGTGTGTGTGTGTGTGTGTGTGTGTGTGTGGTGGGAAGGGAGGGGGTTGCCTTCCATGATGAAAGCTACTGTTAACTCTCAGCTGTAATGACAGGCTCAAGCCGCCACAGGCAGACAGACACAGAGACGGAGACAGACCCCCCCTCCCCTCAACCGCCACACCCACCCACCCACCCGCTCCTGGATCATAACAAATCGGTTTCATATTGTCGTAATAACAGAGGAGCAGGGGGAGCCTGCACTTTGCTGCAGACAAATTTATGATAGGACTCCTGTGACTCCCTCAGAGTGACGCGCTGCACGTGAGCTGCAGGAGGTTCTTAACATCAGTATGAGCTCCACACGACATGACTTACGGCTCGTGCTGCTCGCAGATACGGTGATCGTTTCTCCCGAAGGGAAGGTCAGAGGGGAGGTCAGGGGGGAGGTCAGGGGGGAGGTGCGCCCCGCTGCCACACGGATCACACAAACCTCATCGTATCCTTTGCAGACGTGCCGCTACTCTCAGTTACGATCATCCAAACTTCATTACGAGAACGTCAGGTGCGGTTTTGTCTGTAACACTATTGCTAGCTGGCCTGTGTGTGTGTGCGTGTGTGTGTGTGTATGTGAGCCTCACCTGTTTGCCGTCTCCAGGTTTTCTACTTTTATCCACAGGTCGCTGTTTTCTGACGTGTAGCCCTCCACCCTGACAGACACACACACACACAGGTGATGTTAATTTAATGATGCTTTAAATGACATTTCTCGACAAAGCTGAATTGCACAAAGCATTTTACTTGAGAAATATGGCGCCATCTTCACATGTTGCACGCTATCTAACCATGTTGACAGTTAAATTCGCCCCGTCGATCGTATTTTGCTCAGAAAGACGGATGAGTGGGATGTTCTCTCCCTCCTGCTAGTCTATCCGTCCAGTCTGCTGGTTCATCTAATATCCACTGATCATCTTCTCCATGCTGTTACCCATAATCCCCCTGATCTCCACCTGTGTGTTGGGTCTGAATACGGCTCATTCACACAAGTTCCTTTCAGCAAAGTCGTCCTGCTGTTTTCACCGCGGAGACCATCCAATAATCCCGTCCTCGTGTCCAAAGATGGACGCGAGGAAACAACAATTTCGATTTTCACACACACTTCTTTGTCCCCTGTCGGGAATTCAGGTGATTCAGTCCAAAGAACTCAACTCTCCCCGCGTTAATCGGGTTGAATAGGACATGCTGTCGCCACCTGTGCGAACCTCTTTGTGTACTTTGTGCTCAGAAATGAGGCGTCACACATTTTCACCTCTCGTTCCCTCTCCCTGTCAGCGAATCCCCCCCATGCGTTCAGCAGGTGACCGGAGTCCTGTCGCTACGACAGCTCGGCAAAGTGGGAGAAAAAATGCATTTTTTCCTTGTGTGGATGGATAAATGTAAGCAGGTGGTTTAACATGATTCGGGTTGAAATAACGGTAATAATGCAGCAGCTGCACATTTATTCAAAGATTTAGTTTCGATTCAAATCACAAAGATCCGAACAAAACAGATGAACTCTTTGAAAGGAAAAATCCATTTAAATGAATGATGGATGTTTCTCCTCCAATATTTGGTAAAGACAGAATCTCGCAATAGTTGTGACCTCTTTTAGACTATGGCATATGAAAAAAAGGAAAATAAAAAATATTAAGGTAAACCAAAAAGGAGTGGAGGAATGGAAACATGGGGACAAAGAGGTTTTTCCGAGGCTTACTTCTTCTCCAGACATTCCACGTACTCTTTCTTCTTCCTCCGACTCTCCTGAGCGGAGATCTGCGTCGAAAAACAGAAAAACATCATTAGGATCCGACCTTTCTTAGTGCTACACACCCAGTTAAGTGATTTCGGATGGCGCCTCATAAACACTTTGTTTATTAATCAATAAGGATTTGTTTTGCCAAATGAAATGTTCTGAACACAGACAGGATGAAGGGTTACCTTGTTTTTAATCTTCCGTCGGACCCTCTTCAGCGCCTTTTCCTCGCTCTTCGTGAGAGGCAGCTTGTTGGGCACTGGGTAACCCTCGGCAACCAGGGTCCTCTTCTCTTCTTCTGTCAGCAGGAGGGGTCCTGAACCCTGCAGCTTCTGCACGACAACACAGAGCACTTTGTCAATATATTTAGTCAACAACCCTTGTCAACAACCTGTTTTGAGAAAATGGCCATAAGGCATTTATTACATTGTGGCATTCAAACAAATGTGAATCACGTCAGAAAATGTGCAGAATCAGACGGACAAAGCCGAACACTGAATTGATCCGATTGAATGAACCGTCCGACTGATTTAACCTCCTGATGGCAGCTAGTTCACACACTAAAAACACAAGCCACTACATATTAATTCCACATCGGTCATAAAACACTTTTGTTCTGTCCAATCCGTGTGGGAAAATAATGCCTGAGAGAGCATAGAATTAAGCTTAAAAGATGATGGCGTTGTGCTCCTTCACTTACATGTGGGGCAGTGAGGAGAGGTGAGGAAGAGATGGCTGTGGAAGAGATGGAGGAGGAGGAGGAGGCCCGACCTCCTGGCCTCTGTTGTGGTTGAGGAGAAGACGGTGGCAGGGGGAGGTGTGGGGAGGACGGAGGCAGGGAGCCGTCGCTGTCGCCGTGGTTACTGCTGGGAGGGGTGGGCGGGAGCTGGAGCGCATCGTCTGAAAGGAGAGGGGGGCGGGGATTGAGGGAGTGATTCCACTATAAACTCCCCTTTCTTTGACCACTGAGACAACTCGGCATACGCTGATGCAGAGAATAGGTCCAGATGCATTGATTCATTCTGAAATCTCAAACGTTGCATAGATGGAGAGATGCAGGCTGGTTGGTTGATTTGGTTTGCTTTATCAAATTGGTTTGCTTTTTTTGGGTATTGGACGCATTTGTGTGACTTGACCAGTGATACCACTGTAACGTGTGTGTGTGTGTGCGTACCGCTGGGCAGGCTGAGGTACTGTCCGGTCTCTTTGGGTTCATCTTTGATGGCGACTGGCTTCCCGCTGTCTTGGCCGGGCTCCTGCAGAGAAACACAGCGACAAACCGAACCGCTGGTGAACGCTGCCCTCAAACTAACCAGCCCACAACAGCGGTGTCAATCTTCTACCGGAGGGATGCTAACCGTGCGTTTCCATGGCGACCCTCTGTGCGGGGGTGCGGGGCTTAATATGAGCGGCGGGCCTTCCAGAGGCTGAGGGTCTAACCTTTGACCCACATCGGGCTCCTCTTGCTTCACCAAGATGGCCGAGAGGTCCTGACTGAAGCTCCACTCGAACTCTGGAGGGAGAAAAAAAAAGAAAACACACCACCAAATCATCAAGAAGCCAAGAAAAGTGTACTTTTGAATGAACGAGAGAGACCTTCAGGGAGGTCTTCCAAGAGGAAGTAACTGGTGGCTTCTAAATCTCACTTTCAAAGAGCTTCCTCAAAACATTTGAACGCTTCCTGACAGAACTGGTTATTACAGAACGCTGGACGACGTCGCTCCGGCAACTGCGGTGCATAATTTGTCTCCAGTGAGTGAGTTTTCTACCCTGAAATAAAAAGATGGGCTGACCCGACAACTCCTGAGAAAAGAAACGGCTGCCTTTAAACACCGCAGAAATTACGCAGAGTCGAGTGCAATTTAAAAAAGTAAAAAAACCCAACTAGGACATGCATAAGAGCATCTCACAGGTACTGCGTTGTTTAGTCTACTGCCAGCTGCAAAAGGTATTTTAGAGACATAACTACCACTGCGGGGCTGCAGCAAAACTGGTCACAAGTACTAATGGTACTCCCGGTGTCCTCTGACAAACCAAAGCTCACGCTCTGGTCACATCTCTGTGATGTTTGGGTTTTATTAAAGACGCAATTCAGCTGTTTTGTTTGAGCCGATTGTATTAATCAGTCACTGTATGGAAGTGAAATACTGAATCCTCAGGGATCCTTTTTTAAAAGATGACCTTTCTACGATGATGCAGAGTCCACCAGAGGTGAATGTTGTATGTGGGCTTTTAATTAAGGCCCTTTCAAAAGGTGAGCTGATTCTGCTGCAAACAGTCTGCACAAAAATGACTATTACTTGAGATTTAGATTAGATCATATTATTGGTGGCGTTTAGTAACAAAAAAAAAGGAGCAGCAGGTAGAGAGGGAGGTGTGTGAGTCAGCATTTTTACATTTCAGAATAAAACACGAGTAGACACTTTGATGTTTGCCACAACACACACACAGACACAAACAGACACACACCTCCCATGGTGTATGGAAAGAGAGCAGTAGCAGTTTAACAAGTACGTGTGCATGTGTGTGTGTGTGTGTGTGTGTGCTCGTTCCAGGAGTGAACGTCCTTTTAATCACCTCCTGGTTTCCTAGCAACACGTCTGCTGGCAAAATGCTAGGAAGTTTACAAGCCAAGTGTGCCGGCGAGGCGGCAGAGAGCTTCATCAGGAAACATCAGGACAGCAGAAAACTAAACACACCTACCGATTATACCTGGACTAGGCAGCGCGTTATTAGCACTTATTTGAGGAAATTGTACTTTGTTATTGTGGCTTTGGGTAAGAGCGTCAGCTATATGAAAGGTGTGAATATACAACGCTATAAAAAAGAGAAAAGCAGCAAATCCTCATGTTTGAGAAGCTTGACAATTGAATTGAAGATAGTTGCCGAGAGTAGAAAAGTTGACTGACTAGTCTTCACTGACTCCAAATCTAACCAGATATAACACACGGTGACGTTTCAGGGACACGGGTTACCAAGATATCCATAATAATGCTAAATATTGTCAGGGCAACCTACCGCGGCTACGCGTCGTCAAAATATGCACCACTACTCGTCGACCTCCGTGGACCTTCGATATTTTTATTTGTCATTGATGGCGAGATCTGAAATCCCTGATATCCCATTTAAATGAGTTGGTGGTGCGATGTGCGTTCGTTTTTTGGGGGCTTAGGGAGGTTTCCACCCACGTTGCTCTTCATAAGTAGGACCCTCAGAGGCGTCTCCTAATGAGGCCCGTCCCGCTGCTAGTCTGGCCCTCGTTAGGGCCGCTGCCCTCGTTAAGCCGGGGCTTGATCGGAGGCCCCCGACCACCGTCTCTTAATGGAGACCAGAAGCTGCCGGCCAATGCGCAGGAAGGTCGTGCATTTGTGTGGTTGAAAAGAAGACATTTATTGATTGTTTTTCTTAATTGCTTTACAGTTGTTCACACCGTGTTTCTCTTATCTTTCCCTCCTATCACCATAGTCATACTTCATACACAGAAAAAAATCATTTCCGTGTCACTGCTGATTCAAACATAACAGCAGGAAAAAGGACAAATTCAAATTTGAGCAAAGTACAATTTTAGTTGTATTATTCATTTGTTTGTTTGTGTTAAACATAAGATGCTGCGGATGAAAGTAATGAAGTGAAACCTGACCCTCCCCTCTAACCTCTTTATGGGATCTCTTTGGATGCTGCTCATAAAGGACAGTCTGTCTATGAGGCCAGTAAACCCAGGTAAGAAACCCTATCGCAGCATAGCGGCTAATGACCAAAGGTTGCTGGCAGTCACAGGGGGCTAACGCAGGAGAGCTGGCGACGGCGTTTGATCACAGCGGGACGGCAACGTTATTGAAACAATAGATTGGCGCGACACAGCAGGCGGTCCTGTAAAAAGCACGCGGCACCTCCTTGACTGGATGAGAGCAACAGGCTGAGAAGCGGAGGGAGGCTGAGAGTCTTTGAGAGAACCTCTCACCAGGGTTAAAGGAAACCGCTTGGTTGCCTAGAAATGGTCTTAAACGCTCTGGTGTTGCAAGAAAGAAAGATGGCGACGACCAAGGGACCAGTGGGCGCCACTGATCCACTTGGGATTCGCAGTCAAGAATCAATGATCCCAAATGACAGAACCTTTGATTCTTCTACTACAACTGATAGACTTTCTTAGATGTCTGTCTAGCTGCGACTGGCTGAACCGTCTGCAGCCGCGACGGTCTTGTCAAAATACGTCTCGTGTCAAAGTGGCAGCTGAGAGTCCCGCTGTTTCGGTAGAAAATGTGATCAAAGCAGAGTGCTGAATTTAAAAGACATCGAGTTCTGCATCGTCGCATCTGAGAGCAGAGCGGCGCTCAACGGGATGAGCATCAAGTGCAGAAGGTACGACAGAATCTTGACACAAATTATAAAAGAATAAATGAGAATAAACCCAATTTGTTTATTCATTATCACCTTTTCCTTGTTGTATAATTTAAAGTGCGAGTGTCCCTGGGGAAAAGCTTCAGCCCTGCTGGAGACCTTGTGGTGCTTCAAATACTTTTATCCAAGCTTTGTGGAACAGATGCAGGTTGTGAAATGCATGTTGGATAACGTATGACATGTATGACATAAACTAGGCTTCAACTAGGCTGAAGTGGATTTAAATAAATACGATTGTGTGTGTGTGTGTGTGTGTGTGTGTGTGTGTGTGTGTTCTGCAGCAACACATGGAGGCAATGAAGAAGAAACTATTTATATATATAAATACACACACACACTCACACACACACACATTGCATTTGACTGTAAAAACAACATGTATTGAACTTGTTGGAGTCCTATTTTACTTTTTCAGTCTGGTTTCATTTTAATGTCTCTAAGAGAGCAAAATATGAGTTATGTTTATATTCTAGCTCAGAGCATTTCAGTGGAAACATTAGAGTGTTTTTCTTTTTATATACGAGATGTCATTTTTCTTTGGTATTTCGGAAATCCAGGTTGTCTGATATCAATGCCGATAAACTGGATTAATTGGATTAGAAAGAAAAATAGGAGCAAAGAAATAGAAAACAGAAGTAAGCCAGTGAGGAAGATATAGATAGTAAAGAGAGAGAGAGATAGATAACCTGACCAAAAAGAGTTTCCGCTGGCTTCGGCTGAAGCTGCACTCAAAACCATATGCTTGTCATAGTGCCTGTGTGTGTGTCTCTGTGTGTGTGTGTTAGGTGGGCAGGGCTTAGCTGGAGGAGAGCTGCTCAGACAGGGATCCTGCAGCTCAGAAAGCAGGATCCCTGGGACAAATGGAGCGCAGACGGCCGTGAGAGAGACAGGTGGGGACAGTGAGAGAGACAGGCAGGGGAGGGACACACAGGTGGAGCTCATATCATGTGACAGACGGTTGTTTTCAGCCAATCAGAGTGTGAGGAACCAGACTTCAGCAGAGCTTCGACTGGCTGCAGGTTTTCCTAAATAGTTTAAACTACGATCACTTTGGAAGGAATAGGACGACCTACCAGACTCATGGTCCATTTTGATTGACAGGGCTGGGCTCTGGGGGGCGGAGTCTTCGCTTAAAGAGTAGCTGTGCTCTGCTTGAATATCTGTGAGGTTCAAAAGCCCTTTTTCAGACATGGAAAAGGAAACATCGCTGTGCTCGTCAAGCTGTTGAATAAGTGGCCTCCGTTTGAGACACGGGTGTCCGTTTTCTAAATGTTCCTCGCGGCTCTATTTGCACATATCTTTTAAATAACTTTCTCCAATCATTTTCATCAGACTTAGGAACCTACCATTACGATAACTAATGAGGCCTATTTGCACAGCGTGAGACTCTCGTAGGAGCTCGTCCAGCTGTGTGCCGGCACAGACCCGTCACTGGGAGCCAGGTGAGGGTTAGACGTGCTGTGTGCGTTTCCGTCTGGTTGAGAAACATGAGCTTTGGAAGTCACAGACTTTGGCAACAGACACCGGCTCCCGCGTGGTAGAAGATAGCTTCTATCGGGAAGACGAGCCGCAGTTTTAGCTTTTTGAATCCAACCGATTAAAGAGATTTTTCCAGCTGCACTGCTGGAGGTCATCGGGGGAAGGTCCGAAGGTCGTCCAAATGTGACGTTTAGCTAAAGAGAGGGAAACTCTGGTGCTGCGGTTTGGGCTCGTAAAGGGTTTAACCAACCAACATTTACCTGCTGTGAGATTTTTATAGTTACATTGGAAATAACTGGGAACTTTGGAGAGAACAAACCGCAGTGATCCAACCCCGGGAGCTGTTGTATTGGACTTTTTGTGCGATTCCTTTTATTTGTTAAAAAAGGAAAGCGGTATGTATATTGTGCAAATGACTTTTCATAATGAAAGCAGAGCTGACCTGGGCTGCTGTCCTCTACGTCCATGTGTAAAGGTGAAGGCCTGTCCGCCAGGAGGGGCCGCTCTAATAGGTGGTCCTCGAAAAAACTGCTGAATAATTCGCTGCTGAAGTCGTCCATCTGGTCACCTGAGAAAGGCTGGGAAACGTGGAGAGACAAACGGGGACAGAAAGGGTATTCTATTCAGTAATATAAGGGTTTTCCAAAAAGTGCTTTACGTTAGTGGGAGAGACAGTTTTCCTACTTCTTAAGAACCTTTTTTTTTGACAACCGGGCTGTTTTGTAACGAAAAGCTGATGTTGTGAGACGCACTTGGATACACTCAGCACATGTGGACATCATGATTTGTCAACGCGAGGTGTCCACAAGACACGGGACTATTTGCATTCCGTCTTCCGCCCGAGTCACCGGAGGACGAGTCAGTCAATGGGAAACAGCATCGATGAATTCATCTTCAGTCTGCATGAGTCACCCAGCTAGGAGATGATGTTCTGGGAGCCTGGGACAGCATGGTGCTCTGATTTGACCGGTTTTAACACACACACACACACACACACACACACACACACACACAATATGAGTCACCCTGGTCTTGAGCAAACATGCACAAAGTAGTGCGAAGCAAACACACACACGCACACACACACACACACACACAGATGGGTTGGAAACACGGGTGAACGCCGCTTGGAAGATTCTCAGACAGACACAGCGGCCGAAGTAACTTCATTTTGTTAATTTAACGAAAAATACAAAAATAGATTCTGGTGTCATATTCAAGTAAATTAACTCCAAAAAAAATGACCCAAGTGGTTTATATTGGTCCAGTGGCACCAATAAAGACCCAACCCGTAATAAATATGGAGCTGAATTAGATCTCTTGGAGTCAATAGAGGAAGTAGAGGGGGTTTTGCACCCTACCCATCAAGCCCCTTAAATAAAACATCGTATTGTTTGATTTAGTCAAACGGTTTGAAACATTTCAGAGCGAGTTTCAGCCAGCAATGGGATTTAATTGGCTTCGTGCCACCATTACGTGCTGCTATTAGTGTCCATCAGTGCAGCTGGACCGAGGGGAGTGAGGAGAAGGAGGAGGAAGATGAAAGAGAGTAAACAGACAAACCGCTTTGTACTGGACGTATGACTCGTGGGAATTTTCACATAATATAATTTAAACACTCAGACCTTCACGCGTGCATCATCCCTCTATGTGTGTGCGTGTGCTCATGAGGTCCGGCGTGTGTGTGGTGAGACTGCGGGACACATGCAGCTGTCTGATGCTCCATGTGAACACACACAGATGGTAGACGTGCACACGGTGGGTAAAATAACAGAAGCACAAGGCCTGCTGAGGTTTTGAAACCCGACTGCGAGCCATGTCGCGTTCTCTTATTCATGCAATTCGGTCGTCACAAACGAACCGAAGCCGACTTGCGCTCCGTGAAGGCTTTTATTTTGAAAGGAAGCGCACGTCAGAGCAGTCAGCGTGAATGCTCACTCGTTCATAAACAAATAAGGAACGGCGATGCTGACGGAGGCTTTTGTGAGGACTCTGACCCCGGACCCACTATGCCGGGGGTCAAAGTTCAAGGCCTAGTCGTCCCTTTCCTAGTTCCACCTTTAGCCGATGATACAGCTCTCACATTCCACGGGTAGCTCCACCTGCTCAAGGCGTGACGCCCGTGTCGCCTGGTGGCAGATGTTTTTCTCACACGTTCAGCTATTCCACCTGATAACATCTCCTCCTCTTAGGCGTGTACGGACCGTTTAGTTGACTTCATGTCGTTCTGCCTCCCCGTGTCGATGAGAACGGCACCTGGTAAGTCAAGTCAACGCGAACAATCCAGGATAGATTTAGTATTCAATGTTTTTGTGGGTATTTTCATGTCTTTTTGAGATGCACCTCAAGCCACCCTGCAGCTTACAGGTTTACATTGTAAGAAAAATCCCCAGCGGAAAAAAGGGGGGGAAGGAAACATCCACCTGTCGCTGTGTTTGTCGGACAGGCCGAGGGTATATCGGCCTTATTGTGTGTGCAGATAAAACCACGTTATTTTCTCCCCACAACAAACTGACAGGAGGAAAAGGTCAACATTCAGCGCTGATGCAAACCCGCATCACACCTGCCCCACCTGACATTTATCAGCGGCAAATGTTATGTTGAAACACACACACACAGGGAGAATAAACTCTGTGATTGTTGTTGCGAGGACGGGAGAGAGCGGCCCGTGTGGGAGCAGCTGCAGCCGGCGTGACCGGGGGAGCCTTTCATTACCCGGACCCTCTCCGCCGGGGGAAAAATTAATCCCCAGCGGGAGAAAAACACCGTTACGAAGCACTTGATGGCGTTTAAAGCTCCTTTCAGCGGCGCTGTGTCATTAGTGGAGAGGGGGGGGATAAAAGCAGGAAGAGACTTCATCACGCCTATAATTACCACTGCTGCCTTTCAATTGGAGGCCTCACTGACCGACCCCCCACCCCCCCCTTCCCCGTCCGATACAGTGATGAGGGGAACCAGAGGGAGGAACTGAGATTTGATGTAGTTATGGCACGAAGGGGGCAGTGGGAACCATCGGAAACTCCTCTGAAATATCGTGAAAAGGCCAAAAGGGAATTATGCCGTAAAAAACATTTTTTCTCACCATAAGTCAAAGTCCAGACTTCACGTGCCAACCGTATTAGTAGTGGCTGAGTTGGTTTTGCCTGTTGCAGTTGATTTAATACGTCTTGGCGTGTGATTCTCTGCCGGGCCGTTTATAGAGATCCATCCCAGTGCGTCTACGAGAGGGATTCAGTTCAGCAGATCAATGCCGCCGTAAACTAAAAGATGGTAGTTAATTTGACTTCCCCCCGTGAAACGTCCCGCATCCGGGCGGCAGGGAAACGCTCCTTCACGTTAGACAGCTCTTCCTCTCGCCATGAATTCACTTTCCCCAAAGTTATTACATTTTAGTGCAATAGCTCAACGTTGGGGCCATATCGTGAATAGTGCAGCGACGCCTGGGGAGCATTCGTTTCACGCTCTTGTCAATAGATGAACGAACTCCGTCCATCACGGTCAGAAGCTTCCTAAAACACAAAGAATCCCACAAAGTGTGACTGGAAATCCTCAGAGAAGAACATGGGGGACAGTTCATCTATCGCTCGATTGATTGATTGGTGCTTGTTTTATGCTTGCAAATTGAATATCTCTTAGTTCGGACTAAGACTGCACGATTTCTTTAATACACGTGAAAGAAAGAAGAAGTCTAATGCTGGGAAACATTACAGCGTGCGGTGGAGGGGGATCGAAGGCCATGTCAAGTATTCAGGATTTGAGTCCATCGAAAGACTTCTCCACTGCTTTCGTTTACAATGAAATTCAACCAAAGGACCACATGGCTGGTTGAGACGGATACTTTTTGCAGCCTAAAATGAACCAGTGAGAGACCTGAAGACATCGTGTCATTATCCCCTCACACCGCAGATAAGAAAACGCCAATGTCCTCTCCGCTGTATTTGGCCTCATGTGGGGACGTGCGGCTGCAGCGGCTCCGCTGTGTTTGGCTTCACTTGAAGCCGAGAGAGCAGCGAGCCGAGGTTACCGCATGTGTGTGTGTGTGTGTGTGTGTGTTAAGATTTCAAGGGAACTCAGCTATAGTTCATCTCAGTAGAACAGTAGAAGAGGAGTTTTCCTCCTCTTTCTCGCTCTCTCACACACACACACACATAGTGCTGCATGCCTGCTCACATTCCATCAGGCAGCTCGGCGGCCAATAGGCAGCCAGCATGCAAATGAGGTGGGCGTGTCCTTCTAAGAGCTGGAGTGCAGGGTCTGAATGGAGAGTAGATTAGAATAGAATAGACAAGAGAGAACAGAAATAGAATACAAAATGTGCGAGAAAAGCATTACAAGTAGAGGACAGAGAGCCCAAATATTCTATTTGACTCGACCGATACATTTTTCTACAAGAGATAAAATAGAAAATAATCAAATAGATTCACCCACAACTTTGTACACATATGTGTAAATTCACGCGTGTCCGCTGAATTAAATTAGTACATGCCATTAAAAAAGATGAATCTGTCATGATTGCAATTCCCCTGAACCCAAATGCAATGCTTTGTCAGTCCAACTGTACAAGATTATTCAATTTGCAATGATGCAAAAGTGTTTCTGCGTAAAAAAAAAGAAGAATCTCAGCAATACATTTTAAAATGTTCTGCCAATCGTCACCTTTCTTCAGCAGTAAGTCGAATAAGTGCAAAGTGTTTTGTTAGGCGCCGCTCGACTGAGCTCCTCCACCTCGTTAGGAGTCTCCATACGTGGTTAACGAGGTCGTCCATGCACGGCCCTTTACGCTCCGATCAAATGGCTCAGTGAACACGATGCACGAATTCAACCGGAGCCAAGTGATATTCACACACATTAGGATTTGTGACGCATAAAAACTCATGGTTGGATTTTCTGCCTCTCTCTGCCCGGATTCTCTCCCCCCTCTTCATCTTTACACAGAACTTGACGCTGAAGAAGATTCTCAGATAGTTTGGCTTGAACTCAATCCTTCATCCGGTTCTGCTCTTTTTTTAGATATCAAATGTGCAGCCATTGGCCACTCAGCCTATACTTTCCTCCCAACAATAAAACCCGCTAACCAACAATGGGTGAAATGACAACATGTGAGTTATGCGTGGAGATGAACCAACACCCATCCTGCAGTTTCTTTCAGCTCTCTCGGAGCGTCATTGCGTCTTCCTGCCCCTTGTCTTGGCTTCACGCCTCACAAACCATGCTGCTAGCTCAGCGCCGCTGACAGGAAGGAGGTCCCCCATCCATCACCAGCACCACAGAGCGCAGATTAAGGGACAGATCAGAATACGTACGAGCGCGGCATGTTGCAGCACAGCTACTCAGCCGTCCTCTCTCGTGTCCTCAGTGGTGCGGCCCAGCCACAGCGGAGTGGACTACTTTATTTAGAACAGGGGCGGGGGGTTTAAACCACGAGCAGACGGCTGGGCTGACTCACTGGCTGGAATAGAGGTCTGCTTTGAAAAAAAAAAAATGTAAAAAAATATTTGAAAAAACAAAAGCCGCAGCGACACAGACAAGAAAAAGGAGTATGCCTTTTTCTTTTTGTGGCCCTGGGAGATGACACTGGGAGCGGTTGCATCGGAGAACCTGCTGTTTTTGGGGATGAGGAGAGAGCATCCGTGACAACAGGTGGTTTGAAATAAAAGGGGGGCGGGGGGCTGGTGGATTTAGAGAGGAGACAGAACTGCCCTCAGTATAAGCAGGTGTTTCTGCTGCAGCACTGAGCTGGTTGGAGAAGATACGACTAAAAGGGATCCACAGGTTGCAACTGTCTCGTATGCACTTTGTCGAAGTTCAGATGACGGAAAGTTTTGTTTTGTCTGACCAGCAGCCGTGAAAAAACCAACGACATTAATTGAAGACTAATGGAGACAAATATAGACAATCACGGTGCACTTCAGTCAATTGTCAAGTCTCTCTTTCTCGCTCACACACACGCACGCATTCACGCGCACACACGCAGGTAACTCGGCAGCCTGTGTCGGTTTTCCCGGTCGCGCATAGTGGTCAGCACAACTACAGTAAACACACGCAAACGCACGCACGCACGGCGCAAGTTAAAACGCCCCGGATGTTAGTCAGGATCTGTCCACACCTGCACCGCCCTCCGGAGGTCCGGCTCCGGGCGGAACGGCCAGCGGAGGTGCGTTTGATTTGTGGGAATGGCAAGCCGAACCGGAGAAGCTTGACGTTGTATGAACATTAAAGAGACTGAGGACTCGCACGTGTAGAACAGAGGCTTAAAAAGGCGACGTCCACTCACCACGTTAGTGAGGAAATCTCCGTCGGTGAGCTCCTCCAGGTCCAACAGGTTGGTGCCGCCGGCCGGATAGAGTCTGTCAGCTGTCAGGCTGTCTAGGATGGACTCCATCATGACTGCGTTCAGCTGGGCTCTCTGGACTGCTCGCAAAATCTCAAACCCAACTCATTCAAAATGCGGCAGTTTTTTTCTTTCTCTTTTTTTTTGTCGTCGTCAAACGATCCGCCGCGTGCCGTCTTCGTACTCCAGCCCGTTTTATTGACACCGCCTCGGGCGTGAAGCGCGAGTCCCACCGCTGCTTTCTTTTTGGGGGGCAAACTTGAAAAGAAAATCTCGAAAATTCCCATCCGAGACGCAGCTGTCCATCCAGCTGTGCGCGCTGCCTCTCTGACGCGTCATGAATAAGCAGGGAAGCCCCGCCCCCTCCCCCCGGGCTCGAGTTACGCTCAAAACAGGAACGATGCTATATTTTTAAAACGTTAATATATATTATTAGTATTTTTTCATCATATATTTAAGTACAATTTGTATGTACTTTTACCAAATACTTCTACTTCACTACATTTCAACCACAAAACCAAATGCTTTATTATATTAATTATATTATATCAATAATAATATTTCAGTTACTACATATGACCGTTTGTTTAGCCATTTTGCATACCGAGTTTTTTTTACATTTCATTCTAAATTTTCCACTGGATGCATAATACTTTAACTTAAGTCAGAAGGTTTGAATGCAGTTTGACAGGTTCTTTTCCATTTACTTAAGTAAATGCTAAAAGAATTGCTGGGGATTGTGTTGTCTACAAATCGGTGGACTAACATGTCCCGCTCACCGGTTAGTCTGGAGGAGCATTACCGCTTTATCTTCTCATCTTATTAGTGCTTAATCAACTTTAATCAGCCTGGGTAAGTGGCCTTTAAGGGGCCGTGTTTGGTCCATTTCGGTTATGTGCCCTGTATGACTCCCTGAGACATTTATAAGGAACTGAGGCCTCGTTAACGTAATAAGTTCAACCTGGGCTTTTCTTGATATGACAAGACCAAATGTCAATGAAAAGGTCAACAACTGGCGATTTTACCAGTTACCCTCTTTAGGTCAGAGGGAGTCACTTAATTGTGTTTATATTTGTACAATTAAAATGAAATAAGACAATAAAAACAAGTTGAATGTTTTTGCCTGTGAAAGAAAATCAGAAAAAGACAGGTAGCGACACACACACACACACACGCACACACACACACATTTATCGAATTATTGGCATCTCCAAGTGTTGTCTATGTGCAGAAGGCTGTATCTTCCCCATTGTTGGATGGATTGCCATTCCATTTGGTGCCAACATTCTTGGTTCCCAGAATGCCTTTGTCATACGGGGATTCCCATCAGGTATGTTTTATCTTCCTATTCAAACAACAGCCACTAACTGGAATCTAATGATCTTCTGGTAGTCAAGATAATTTCTTCTTTTTCCCTTCCGGCTCCCTCTTTTCTCTGCCTTTTCCTTTTCGCTCAATTTCTCCTTCCAGATATCAGTTTACGGAGGTGTTCCACCTCCGGGGAGAGTCTGTCTCTCTCACACGCGTTGGTGTTGTATAACACAGTGACCTTCGATTGACTTTAATAAACACGCTAATCCGTATTCCGATGTAAAGTTACCTGGTGGAGTTTTTGACCACTGGCGGCGCTGTGGAGCGCAGTTTTCAGGAGGCAAGCCCTCTTTTATTTGTGTACTGCTGTGTAGAGAGAGTGTTTCAAGACATCAAATGAAGTCTTCATTACGTTTCACACAAAATTGGAAAAGCACGTCCTAATTTTCCTTATCAGTAAAAAGCTGATCCACAGATTTAGCTTTCATGGAGGCGAGTCCTCTTTATTAACATTATTCAGGGAATCCTCATCTTTTCCATTCATATATTGTGGCCAGGTAAATAGTTGACTTTAGTAGATTCGGTCTAGCTGTCTGATTGGCCGGTCATCTGTTGATGCAGGTTGTGACAGGCGGCTCTCCGATTGGCTCTCAGTCTGATGATGCAGGTATGACTCATCTATCTATTCTGAGCCAAAGAGGGGACGCTGGGTTTTGACCTTTCGTCTCCCTTGGGGACGGCCGTGATGTCATCACCTCTCCAATCATGCACTGTTGTTTTCACCGTCGTCCTCCGTCTCCATCTGTCTGTCTCATTAAATCCAATCAGGCCTGTTGGCATCACAAACAACCAGCGGGGCATTGAGGCGGAGACCTTGCTGTTCATGTCTGTCTCTTTGAGTAAATGATTCAGTCCCCAAACCTCTGCGAGAAAGTGACTTGTAGTCCCCACATCATCTCTTTTCTCTCGCTTCCTGTGCTGACCTCGCTAAGAAGCCGATGCGTATTCACTAAAGCACCCGCTCATGTTGGTGAATATGAGTTCTAACTTTGGATATTTATGACTTTGGTTCCCAAGTCTGTTAATGTTCAACCTGTGCTAAGCTTTGGCACAAGACCCCGCAAAACCATCCAACCTTTCCCCTCGCCCGAAACCTAGCCGACGCCACGCATGAGGTATACACAGAAATAACTGAATCAGAGAAGAACCGTCATTTTGTCTAGAATTTGGTCCCCCCCATATCGGCAAAAGCGTTTACTCCTTTCTTTGCAAATACGGCTAGCATTTGTTTTTAATGCACGCTTAAATCAAAGACCTAGCTTAGTTTCAACACCATTTTAATCGTTAGTAGGATAAATGCATTCATTTTTGGCTATGCACATTTGAAAACCTTAATATAACAACGGTGAGTCAACTAACGATTGTTTGATAGACAGTAAATAACTCCTTGGTGGCTGCAGCGCCCCCTGTGGTGACCGGTGGTAACGGCAGACGTGTTGTAATCACACACAGGAAAGGCGGACCCTGCCAGAATCAATAAAAACTACAACACAGCAATGCAATCACAAAGCCCAAATGCATAAAAAGCTTAAAGTAATGTCAATAATTGGTTCTGGCACGAATAACTTTGAAACCTAAATATGTAACTATCATAACACATGTAACATTTCCATCCTCTCTGTTAGAGCCCGGTGGGGTTCTGAGGGCGGCTGGTTGGTGGCAGTTGGGTGGAGTAGTCGATGTATAATATGTGGTTGTGGGGTTGCACAGTGGGAGAAGGCACACAGTCAATTTTCCCATAATGCAAGTGGCAGCCAGTGGGTATAAACAGAGGAGTCAGACTGAGCTGCTCTCTTTCTCTCTCGGCTCGTTGCAGACAAGAGGCCAGAGACGCTTTGATCCCTTTCTTTATTCTCTTTGTTGCTTTTTTACCTTCTTTGTCCTGTTCTGATCATAAAGTTCAGAAGTTCAGAAGGAGCGATGAGGACAAAGAGAGAGAGAGAAATAAATGATGGGCGACACAGTAGAATAAAGCCAAGACTGTAATCAAAGACAGCCTCATTCTTTACACACAGTTAAATCATCGACACACTTTTATGACAACGGTTTTATTCACAGAGTTATATCTGGTTTATCCTCGGGTTGGATTATTGTCTTCTTTTGCACAAAGTCGACTACATGACCACCCAAACATTACACCCATTGCTAATTCCTTATATCATTTAAAGAAAGGGGCTCAGTCTGCTGCTGTGACGGCATATATTCTTCTGGGATGATTTTGGATCCCACAGATTGCGGGTCAGTTGACTCCAAAACCAGACAAAGGTAGTAAAGTACCTTTTAATCGGTGCTGCGACGAGTCTGCACTGGCAGAAAAGACAGCGGCGCCCTCTACTGGAGAACAAAACAACATCTCGCGTGGAGGCATCCGGCCAGAAGTCCATGTGACGTGTAAATAGCAGCTCTCAGTGTGTGTGTGTGTGTGTGTGTGTGTGTGTGTGTGTGTGTGTGTGTGTGTGTCTGTGAGTGAGTGCAGCTGCTTAATCAGCCTGTGATGAGAGAAACCTGTATCTATGTGTACATGGCTTTCCCCACACTGCACAAATGTTTCTGTCTTCTAAAATAAATCGGTTTGAAAGGAAACACCATCTGAATGTGTATTTAGGCCATGCAAACGTTACGTGGCCTAAATACACATTCAGATGGTGTTTTCTGTTTATCCCCACAAAAAAGAAGCAGTTTTTCTCCTCTGATAAACTGCCTGAAGTCTCATCCGGGCTTTTATTGAGGACGAGCTGATTTAATACCTAAATCACCCAAAACTGCAAACTTTAGTCGGTCCCATATGCTTTTGTTTTGTGTTCTGCCAAATCATCAGTGATACACAAAGACTCTAAAGGAGAAGCCTCGAACAACGGCAGCTCAATACGTTTCACCTCCATCCTTGTGGAGGCCGTGATGAATCCCTTCCACAGATGTTCCACGGGGCGAGCCGTCTGTTTGGTCACCACTGCATGGTCTTGGATCGGGTCAGTTTCCTGGTCAGAGCGTGGCGCACCGTCAGCATGTAGGAGCGGCGGTCCGGCAGAGGACGCTGCTGGTCCAGGACCAGCCTGACGGAGACAATAACACAAAACATATAAAGTGTCTCCCATTGGACCGTTTATCTGTACGGATAAATAGAATACTGATAATAATAACGCAATCAATGAATTACACTCAACATGCGAACATATGGAGACAGATTATTTAACACATATTATCATGTTATTTACATGATACTTTTTTTTTTTTTAACCTGATGAGCTGAAACACGGCTGCTTCCACCGCTAAAACAGCTTCTGCGACGGACAGCTCTCTGAAACCGCACCTACACACACACACACACACACACACACACTGTGTAATTGGATCCACATGCTCACACTCATTAATCCATCTCAATATTCAGTTTTGTGTGAATGTTTGGTAGCGATATGAAAACAACATTTCATATTAAAACAAAACAAAACAAACAGGTGGACAAATATCGATTCTGTTCTTCAATTTTAAATGAAAGCAATTATATATATTTTTAAATTGCAAACACAAACCTCAACTCCTTGGCCAGTCTCTGTCCTTCCTCTGTCGTCACCTCCCTGCCGATTTCCAGGTCCGCCTTATTGGCTACGAGCACTGTAGGTACAACTGACCCCCCCACACACACACACACACACACACACACACACGCACGAACACAAACAAACAATGAGGTGACAATAAACCAGCAGGAGGATGTTATGGCATGCAGGGATCACCGACAGATCCCAGTGCGACCCACCATACATGGACTACACGCGTGTGTGTGTGTGTGTGTGTGTGTGTGTGAAGGTGACAATAGACAGATGTCAGCCAGAGTTAGAGCTTCGCCCGGACTTTCAGGGCAAACACACAAATTGAGCTTGTTGCTCCTCCTGAGATCACCCTGCTGCTTAGATTCCGGGGTTTTTGCCGGGTGGCGGCGGCACGGCGGCGTACCCAGGCTCTGCTTGGCGTGCTCGACGAGCTTCTTGAGTCGTGGCACGTCCAGGAAGCTGAGGCGTTGGGTGATGGAGTAGAGCAGCAGGAAGCCGTCCGCCCAGCGGATGGAGGACTCCAGGGACGCCGCGGCGTCCTCCTGGAGGAGAGCAACGGGTCAGAAACGCCGTGCCGCAGAGACACCCGACCGAGCGAGGCCTCGCGCCACATTTCTTTTTGGCAAATGGGCCTCGTCGCTTTCTACACGCACCTTACAGGCGACATCCAAAATCTCCAGATCGACAGCCTCGTGGTCCAGCGCCCGGCTGCACCTGTAGGTCACCTCTGAGGGGAAACACGGCCACGTTTGACTTGAAAGCAGCGCGTGGACTTCTTCCGTGTCAAGCAACGTTTACGCACATATTTACCCTTCTTGTGGTCGTATTCACCGATGAAGCGCTTGGTAATGAAACGGACACACAGCGCTGGAGACACAAGACAGACACAAACAAGAGTGACCTGGCAGACGCACACAGTGAACACACACACACACACACACACACACGCAGGTTTGCCTCTGATCTGCATCCTCTTCCTCACTCCACCCGCCTTGTTTAAACAGACCAGGAGTTCTTTCTCTGTTTGGCTGGATGGAGTCTGGACGGCTCGTTTGAGGGATCTCTGTGTTTCCTCTTGGCATCACACCAGAAGGTTATTTTAGGTCTGTTTTATTTGAGCCTTCACGGATGAACAAAGCATTGATTCAAAGGAGTGAATATTATAATAGTCTATTGTGGATAAGATTAAAATCCACAACCTTTTTTAAATAAGGTTACGGCCTACTCAATCTTCTATGTATATATATATATATTATAGTCAAATCGTGACTCATGCATGATCTATTTTTCTCCCCATGGGAAAGTTTGACAGAAGCCAGGAGACGGAGGTGGCGGGTTAATCGTCAGACATGCGCTAACTTTCCATATTTAGGCAAAAGCTTTTAGACCGTGACCGTGATTCAACCCTAAACTTAACCTCTTTCATTTGCCAAACCGAGGGAAAACTTTGACCCTTATGTTTGACCTAAGCGATTGTCACATCATCCAAAACTTGTGAACGTGTTGAAGTCTGTGATTTACCTGTTTTTCCAGTGTTACGAGCTCCCAGGATGAGGAGTTTAACTGGAACCATCTTCCTGTTGGGTCCAGTGTGTCAATCTGCCGCCCGTCCCCCTCATTAACCAAACCCTTCAGACGGGATCAGTTTGGAGTTTTGAGTCAAAATACAAAACTACGTGCAGCTAAAAAAAAAAAAAAAAAAGACTTCACGTGACAATATCTGCAAAAAAAGAGAGAAAAGGGCATTGCTGAAAAGGTGGAAGTACTAGCGGCAATAATACTGACCAGTGTGTAGAAATAATGTCCAGATATGGAGAGGTGTAAGGTAATGAACTCACCGTGTTGTGGGTACTGAGCAGTGACGAGATGGCACTGCGCTCGCTCTCTGCTTCTGTTTGGTTATAAGCTCTCTCTCTCTCTCTCTCTTTGGGAGAAGTTGATGACAAAAGCCATCCGTCTGGATGAAATGGTCCAACCCCTCCGATGCCCCTTTCTGGATCTATTCACAACACCTCTAAGCTCTTCTTTTTTTAGGTGGGGGGGGCAATGTTTAAGTTGTTTACTTGAACAAAAGCAGGTTGTGTATCTTGCTCAAAGTTTTTAAAGGGGACTCATTTCGCATTTTGAAAACATGCCCCTTGCGCGGCGTCAATCCTCTCATCAAACTCTCGTCACAAAATGGAATTTCCCCAAAAATGAAGTACAACTTTTATTAATGATCGATGCTGCCACGTAACTCTCTGCACTGTGTGCTCCGCAAGAAACACGGAGCAGAAGCAAACAGCTAGTCAATGTGGGAATTATTTACAGACCTCTGGATTCCGCAAAGGCCGCATTCAGAAGCCAGATTTGAGCATATTTTCCAAGAGTATCTGGCAAACGCTGCCTGGAAGATTTAGTAATAAATATGTTTTTTAAAGAATAAAATCTGACGTTTTAATGTGCGGGACACTGTCCTGAAACACACGATTACACTAGAATGATGTCATACGGAAAAAATGTCTAACGACGACGTTCATATTCCCGATGGACGGATAAAAGCCGTTATACGACGACCTGATGTGGAACCAAAAATACCGTAAACGAAGACCACTCAAACTCGGGTTAAAGACATTTGTAAGATTTTATTCATATTTCATACATTTCTATTTTTTTTTTTTAATACGCTTTGTTTCCCCGACAAAGCTCGACGAATGAATAGTGTAGAACAAGCATCCAGGACAACTTTAAATTAAGGAGCGACACGGAGTTCGTTGGAGAAGTGGGCATGTTTGAGCGGAGGAGGGAGCGGAGCTTAGCAGACCGACGGCTCGTCCACAGCGGCGGCGCCCTCCGTCACGGCTTTGACGCATTTGGCCATCGTCTGGGAGGCCCTGCTGATAGAGTCTGGGAGGGGGGAGGGAATTAGGGCGTCATCCACTTTTTTTTTAAATTTTCTTGCGTTCACCCTTTTTGTTAATGCTCACCCGTCATGTAGAAGTCCGCTGCCGTCAGCTGAGGCGGCACCAGAGGAGTGGCCACGAGGTCCTGCTTCACCAACTGCAAAACAAAACCGGACACGGATTAATCCCCCGCTCTCCCCCCCCCCACCGGGCCACTTATAGACGGCGTGACTTCCGCGCGCACCTGAGCGAGCTCGTTGGCCTGTTTGAAGTAGTTCGCCTCCTCCACGTCGTCGTAGCGCACCAGGTTGGGAGACACCTCGGCCAGCCTGGATCGGACCTCCTCCAGGGAGTCGTAGGGCAGCGGCGCGCCCGCCAGCTGCACGACAAGCAGAGACATGACTTTAAAAAAAACAAAAAACAAAACGCAACCCTTTCGGTTTGAAACTGGCGTGTGGCGTCCTGCGTACTTCAGATAGGGCCCTGATGATCTTCCAGTCCTCTCTGGCCATCCCGGGAGGGGTGACCGCCACCCGCGTGTGCTGACTCCGGCCCTCTGTGTTGACGTACGTGCCGTTTTTCTCCGTGTACGCGGCGCCGGGGAGTACGATGTCCGCCATTGGCGCTCCTACATCGCCGTGGTGACCTGGAGGGGTTTAGAAATGATCCTTTGATGTAGTCGCACTCTCACGGTTCCCGTTGTGTGTGCGTGTGTGTGTTGGCGCGCGCGTGTACCCTGGTAGACGATGAAGCTGTCCTTGGGCAGGTCGGCTCTGGTGATGCAGCCGGCGTCGGCCCCCAGCAGGAACAGCACTTTGGGCGGGTTCGCCCTGATGGCGTCGACTCCGGCCTTGTAGCCCAGGTCCAACGCAGCCACCTGACTGGCCACTCTGCTCCCACACAGACACACAAAAGTATGAGCAGGTGCCTCACCTATAGCAGCGTGGCAACTTTTAAACCCAAAGTTTACACACAAACCGAGATGAAAACCCGTTGGCGTCTAGTTGTACCTGTGCAGGACATTGAGGACTTTCCACCCCTCCTCCACGCCGCTGCTGGTTCTGGCGTTCTGTGCAATGGTGGAGACGGTTCTCAGTATGGCGGCTCCGTCTTCTCTCTGCAAGGCGCTGCTACCGACGACCACTACCGGGCGCTTGGCTGCTGACAAGACCTGCAGGCGGGCCGGGGGGGGGGGGGGAGAACGTTTTAGGGGAAAGCCGCCCGAAGAATAAAAAAGAAGAGAGAATCGTCCCAAATCGGAAATCAAAGCTCCCTCTGGAGGTGCTCCCAGTCGGAAGATGGCGTCCCCGCTCGTTACCTGGCAGAAGGGGTGCGTGCCGTCCGCCAGCTCCTTCAGCACCAGAGATCTCCTCTCCCAGGTGGTCGTAGGCGAAACTCAGATCGACGTTGTGACCCCACCATGGCGACGCGCAGCTCATTGTGAAGCCAACTGACACGAGGAGGGAAAAAAAAAAAAAAAACAGCGGTTACTTGATTTACTCTAGAAAAAAAAAAGCAAAAGAACTAAAACAACAACGGAGTTCACACCTCTTGCGGATGCGGGCGTTGAACAGCGGGGCTTCGTAGCGCGGGTTGGTTCCAACGAGCAGCAGCAGGTCGCAGTCCTCGATGCCGGCGATGCGGGAGTTCAGCAGGTAGTTGGAGCGCAGGTCGGTGCTGCGGGGGAGACGGAGAGAAAAGGAGTTGAAGGAGGACGGCGGGGAGCTCCGAAAGCAGAGTACTTTGTCGCTTCGTGCCACCGCGTCTCACCCCGCCCCCGACATGGGGAAGACCTCCTCGGTGCAGAGGTTTTCCGAGTCGAGTCTGTTGAGGAGGTCTTTGAGGGACACCAGAGCTTCGGCGTCCGCCATCCCCCCGACGACGGCCGCCACCTCGCTGCCCTGGACGCTCTGGAGCTGCGCAGACACCACAATGGGAAGCGTGAAGCACAAGGCATGGACCAGAGGAAATACACAGGAAGACTCAAAGGAGAAGACGACGACACTTACTGCTCCAGCGACACGAGAAAGAGCGTCCTCCCAGGTGCTCGGGGTCAGCTGACCTGAATCGTTCTTCACCATTGGTTGGGTCAACCTCTGCCTCTTCAAACCGTCGTAGGCAAACCTGAGAACACACGTTTGGGGGTCTAGTATTTATTTCACGGACAACGTTTTCCCGCGAGGGAGGAGGTAAAGCTTACGCGGTCTTCGTCTCACCTGGTCTTGTCAGAGATCCATTCTTCGTTGACGTCTTCGTGCAGCCTGGGCATCACTCTCATCACCTCCCCTCCTCTCGTGCTCACCAGGATGTTGCTGCCCACGGCATCCAGCACGTCGATCGACTCGGTTTTCCTGCGGAAATAGCACGAGGGGAAGTTAAAGAAACCCGTACGTCTGGACGCAATGAACATTACACGTAGGCGGTAGTAACGGTCCCACCTGGTCTCCCATGGTCGCGCGGTGAAGGCGTAGGGTTTGGAGGTGAGCGCTCCGACGGGACAGACGTCGATAACGTTGCCCGACAGCTCTGACATGAACATCTTCTCCACGTACGTACCGATCTGCAGGTTGTTCCCTCTTCCTGTTGTTCCCAGGTCTTCGACGCCTGCGATCTCACTGGCGAAACTGCGAGAAAAAACAAGAACACAGGAACGCATGGACGTGCTGTTAAAAGGCCTCACGTAATACGCAATTTAAAAAGGACAGTAGCAGCCATTGGAAACAGGAGGCTCCTCCTGGAGATGTTTCTGGCGCTCTTACCGGACGCAGCGTGTGCACTGAATGCAGCGGGTCATGATGGTTTTGATGAGCGGCCCGATGTTCTTGTCCTCCACCGCTCGCTTTCCCTCAGTGAAACGACTGCGGTCTGAACCAAACTGCATGGACTGATCCTGAGAAGGCAGGAGCGTCAACGCTTCAGAAAACAGTGGGAACGGTAGTTTGGTAGGTCTTAGAATGAAGGTTAAGTCCCGAGTATTCATTTAGACGTATTTTATAGTTTAGACCTACCTGTAGGTCACACTCTCCCCCCTGATCACAAATGGGGCAGTCCAGCGGGTGGTTGGCCAGCAGGAACTCCATCACTCCCTCTCTGATGACACACGCGTTCATCAAGCAAGTTGCAATTGTTTTCTTTGTTTTAATCATATGGAAATATTTTAGTTTGTACCTGGCCTTGCGTGTCTTCTCTGAGTTGGTGAGGATGTTCCAGCCCTTCATGACGGGCATGGCACAGGCGGCTACCGGCTGCGGAGTGTGCGCACAGATACACATCAGTACGACGGGAGTCACGCAAGAATTTACAGCTATACTCGTCTTGTCTGATGTTTAAAACTCAAAATGTAATTCAATTTAATACATTTTCGGCCAAATGGCTACCGAGTGTTCTGCCTGGTGACCAATCGGATGCAGTTGTTTACCTTTGGAGCTTTCTCGATCTCCACCAGACACATGCGGCAGTTTCCCGCCACTGAGAGGCGCTCGTGGTAGCAGAACCTGGGGATCTGGATTCCTGCCTTCTCGCAGGCCTGATGGGGAAAAGAACCACTGAAGATGAGGCAGGAAATTCTTAAAGAAATCAAACAAAAGTATGCAAGAATTGGAAAATCACAAAGCAGGCTCGGGTCCACATTTAAAAAGGACAAAGATGGATCAGAACAAAACAGTCACCACGAAGTAGTGCCCGTTGGTAACTTCACATACCGACACACAAACTGGACGAAAGGACGACGTTTGCAGTAAAATCATTTGTCTTACCTGCAGCACAGTAGTTCCCGGCTCCACCTCCAGTGGTTTCCCGTCTATAAACACCTCCACCATGTTGCTGGCAGCACGCGCTGGAGTACGCACTGCAAGTAAGAATACAAAAAGGTCAAATGTATTTTTAGATTGAACAGTGAATGTTTTTTCTTTCTTTCACATGAACACACAGAAATGAGTCTTACGGGTGTTTGGTGCAGCCAGGCTGCTCTTAGCAGCTCCGGCTAAAGCCCGGCCGACGTGTGGCAGCCGCAACATGACTCTGTGAGACAAAAACAAAAGCAGTTAACATATGAGCAAACTTTACTGTGATATTAGGAGTATTTTTATTGCAGATCAAATTTCTGTTGATGTACAACTGTGAAATGCTGCCTGTTTGTTTGTTTATAAGAAAGAAAACATGTGTGCCAGATTCTTGTGGTCATGCTGTCAAGTATACAATGCTAAAAAGGTTTGTCGGGGGACACCCCTGTACCCCTTTTTTCCTACAAGGCAAATTAAAGACTAAATGTCTGGGATCCAGTATACCTTTTCTGTTTCAACGAAATCTCTATATATTAATAAAGAGGTAAAATAAATGATGAAAATGAGCAGTATGCAAAATCAGAAGAGCAATACATAATAACGTTACATGTTCTTATGTAGCTGCAGGTTTAGAACACAAATATTTACTCTTAACGTTGTAGTGCAGTGCGTTTGGGTGTAGATACAAGCAGAACGTTTTAACATTTTGTTGCATGTGGTGTTAAGATTCATTAAGATTAATTCTAGTCTTGAATTCTAAGAAAAAATACATTTTCATGCTCCAGTTTCCCAAATTAGAAATTGGGAGATTTAATTAATGTATTATTTTAAGATTAGAGTCTAAAACGTGACTTTAATGTTTGAGTGAAAAGACTGCCAGCTAACTAGATAGTTGTCATTGTCAACAACAACAAGCGATGCTGTCACTAAAACGTGGAGTTAACATGTTTTAGGAGACGAAAACCAGACATTTGGAAACATATTGCCATAAACACACGTCGGGCACTTTTATATACGATTTATCAGCTACGTGGAGAGGAGAAGAATCACGTAACATGGACCCCCGATGCAGAGCCGTTGCTTGCAGGCTAACCGCGTTAGCTAAGAGAACCACTCAAGGACACGGGCATTGCAATGTTGTAAGAGGGTTAGAGTGGACAAAAAGGTCAAACACACTCCTCTACTCTGGGTTTTGCAATTAAATAACAAAGAGGCGTAAACGTTAATAAGCGCATGAAGGTATTATTATTCTTACCTTTCGCTATTTGGCCTTCTTGACCAGAACAGCGGCGATATCAGTTTTACTACCAGTCAAATAGCTATGGGAAATTAGCGGATGTAGCATTGAAGCCCACTTCCGTTTAGACTGCGGCGTGAAGCCGTCGCAATAAAATGATTATATCATCGCGTTCTAAACTAACCAGATCTTATACGGTTTTTTTTACCTTCGGTCATGTTTTTTTTTAGTTAAAACCATGTAGAGTATTATATCACTGAAGGAGATCACCTTTTATTTTGTACTGAAGGAGATCCTCACTTTTCTTTACTACATTTCCCAGGATGCACCGATGGACACCGGAAGTATCTACGTGTTCATTTTCGCGACGGTTCAGGAAGCGTCAACAAACAGCTACATAAACGAGTTGGGGCTTTCTCCTGTTAAGGAGTGCAGCATAAACAGGTGAATATTATTCACAGTAAATACATTTAGCTGTTTAGCTAATTAAAGACTTACTACGGCGATTACCAAGTATTTTACAGATACGAATGATCAGGCCTTCCCAGCTTATTAAACTAGTTAACGTTAGCAGCAAGCTAACATTGACTATTAGCAAACACAACGTGAATATGTCGCTGCTTGTTGTGGGTACAATGCATACTGCGCAGTAACAGTGTGTTTGGTTTATTTAGAATAAGATGTACAATTATGACATTCAATGTAACTTTAATCATATGTAGCACAGGGTAGCTATAGCATCCTCTGTTTCTGTGCAGTTTGAAAAACAACGTTCGAAGCTGTTATGTGATAATAGATTATTGTAAATCATTTATCAGGATACAAAACTGTATGTTTTTGTTAGCTCCCTGTTTAAAAGCATCATGTCAGCTCAGCAAGGGCGCACTACGCTCACTATTGGGTGAGTCCTGATTTGGTAAAGTCAAACTCCCTCTAATTGCTTAAATATTATCTTGTCCTTAATGATATACATACATACTGTGGCTTCATAATTGTCTGTGTGACAATATCCATGGCGACCAAAAACCGCAGACTTCAGGTTCTAAAATGGAGCATTTTAACTCCAAAATGTTGATATAATAGAGTGGGGAATTGGTTTAGTTCTATTAGTTCATCTGCATTTCTTTCTTCTTTCCCTAATGTTCCACGGTTTTGCTTCTTTTCCCTTTTTCATGTGACTCTCAGCACCATGTTGCCGACCACCTCACCAAACAGCAACGGCGCCCTCGGTTCTGCCGACAACGCGCGTCACACGGCGGGCTTCAAGCGCTACAAGTACTTGAGACGGCTGCTCCATTTGGGACAGATGGACTTTGACTTTGCCGTGTGGCAAATGCTTTACTTGTTCACGTCCCCGCAGAGAGTCTACCGCAACTTTCACTACCGGAAACAGACCAAGGACCAGTGGGCCAGAGACGACCCGGCTTTCCTGGTCCTGCTCGGCATCTGGCTCTGCGGTGAGTGCGCAATCGGGAAAATGTTGGAACCGGATGTTGTCACTGTGCTCTGGTGAGCAAGCGCTTCCTCTATTCCTCTGCAGTGTCGACAGTAGGATTTGGCCTGGTGCTGGACATGGGAGTCCTGGAGACTCTGAAGCTGCTGCTGTGGGTGGTCTTTGTTGACTGCATAGGAGTCGGACTTCTCATATCAACCCTCATGTGGTGAGTCGTGGGTTCGCCTGGTTGAGTAATCGCAAGTCATCTTTTTGTGTGTACGTCATTTGTGAAGCTTTCTCCTTTCTGCATTTGAAATAAGATTTATTCTGCCTTCTTTTCAGGGTTATCAGCAACAAGTACCTCTTGAAACAACCCAGCAGAAACTTCGATGTGGAGTGGGGCTACGCATTTGATGTTCACCTTAATGCCTTCTACCCTCTTCTAGTCATCCTGCATTTTCTGCAGCTCTTCTTCATTAACCGTGAGTAGCGTGACGCTTTTTGGCAGTTATTTCAATGTGTCTGACATTACATCGGCCGATCCGAGGCATTAAATGGTCTTTAGTGCGTTTCAACTTACGGGTTGTTTTGTGTGTTTCAGATATTGTAGTAATAAACTCAGACTGGTTCGTGGGATGCTTTGTTGGGAACACTCTGTGGCTTATCGCCATTGGTTATTATCTCTACATCACGTTCTTAGGTTACAATGGTAAGTAGATTCATTTAATTTCCACTGAAATGAACCAATATAAGATGGTCCAGAAAGGGTCGGACTGTTCTCTCCTTTACGATAACCGATACTAAACAGACGTTTGCATTTATTACACACATCTATTCGCAGCTTAAATTAATTGGTCTATGAATAGACAGTCAATTAATTGTCTTATTTTTTATTACTGATAAATAAACTCATTTTTCAAAAAGGACAGGCTGTACACCATTAATAAAAAAACAACAAAAAAAAACGCTTGAAGTTGAAGTTTGGATTTCCATTTATTTGACCTTTATCAGACTTTTTTTCATCTAAATTAATTGAGAAAGTAATTGGTAAAAACTGGATCAAAATAACATTCCAATTCCACCGTGTCTGTGTTTTACTGCCTTTCATCACCGAGATTACAGAGTTGAGATGTATTTCCTGCCAAAGCTTGTGGAAGGACATCAAACAGATCCGTCATCCCTGTGGATGTTTGGGATGGGAGGGATTGGGCGTTTTATTGGGTGGAGTGGTTTTTTCCATGTAGGAGTAAAGCAGCCGCTGGTTGCCTACAAAGGAGTAGGAATGTGGTGTACTTTGTAATGTGACTTTATAGATGTGTCCGCTGATGTCTTCCTCGTGTGTTTCCATACGCAGCTCTACCTTTCCTGAAGAACACGGTGGTGCTGCTCTACCCGTTCGCTCTGCTCGTACTCGTTTATGTCCTCTCCGTCTCGCTGGGCTGGAACTTCACTAAGGGCCTCTGCTGGTTTTACAAGTTCAGAGTCCAGTAGGACCGCCCTGTCTCCGAGGTTGGACACTAGTCGGCTCCCAGGCCTCACGCTTTCCAGCTCCCCCCCCGCCCCCTCTGTCAACATCTGGATGTGAAGGACTCTGGTGGACACCGCGTGAGCTGGGACGCCGAGCTGGTCGACTGCTGGTGGTCTCTGTTCATTTTCTGTTTGGCTCTCATGTTGAGCTCCGAAGTCAGTGAACAGTGATGTGTTTGGACTACAGTTTCAGAAACAGGAGATACAGCTTTTATTGTTGTTCTTTTTGTATGATTTGTAAATATTCCCGGCAGGTTGTAATATATCCACAGACGATTGTTTCTGAGGGGGAAACATTTGCTTTGTTTTCTTTGAGTTTTCCTAAAAAAAATAACCCTGTTTATTGAATAGACAAAAGGGGGAGGAACATGGGATGGACACTTTTTTTCCCCTTTGTTTTTTCTTAAAGTGTACATTCCAAAGGACTTCCAATAAAAGGTTTTACTAACTTGGTTTGACTCCGTTTTAGTTTCCGCAGGAAGAAGATCAGAAGATGTCGATGCCTTTGGTTACATTACATTATATTACATTTACCTGACGCTTTTTTCCAACGCGACTTACAATAAGTGCATTCAACCATAGGGATACAAACGCAGAAGAGCAAGAAACAAAGTGCAATTTCATCAAATAAGCCAATTCACAATTTTCTATAGATAAGTGGCGTTACAAGTACAATTTAAGTGCTAGAATTTGTTAGTAAGTCGAGGTTGAGTCTGAAGAGGTGTGTCTTTAGTTTGTGGCGGAAGATGTGAAGGCTCTCTGCGGTCCTGGTGTCATCAGAGAGCTCGTTCCACCATTTCGGAGCAAGAACAGAGTCGTGATCTAGTCGAGTGTGGATGGTTCATGTTCCAGACGCATGTGGTATGACATCATAGCTCAAACAAGCTTTTGTTATAAGCCATCATTAGATTTATATTGTGATGTCTTCATATTTATTATAAACACAACAACCAATTCCCTTTAAATACATATTTTTGCATATATTTTAAGGAAATCTTTAAAATACTGTAAACGCTACATGTACTATATTATTTATTTTTGATTTTGTGAAAGAAGCAGTAAACTACTTAGCAGGTAAATTCATTCATAGATAACCCTATAAACGGTTGAAGATTTCTTGAGGAATTCACAGCCACACAAAATATGGATGAATTAACGTCTTTATATTTGACAACATTCAAAAATCAATTACATTGTCAATAACGGATGGAAAAAACTCCCTTAAATGAGACAATGTAGCTCAACAGGACTCATTACAAACCCAGACAAAGAAGATACTTGACAGGAAATTTGGAATAAGTGATTTTTGTCAGCAGCAAAGACGCCCTCCGTTCAGAGTTTCTCCCTAATGTTGAAGAATGACAAATACAGAAGGTCAAATATTTCTAATGGACAAACAATCGATCCACTTCTAATCAATACAAAAGCAGGAATGTTTTCAGGAATATCAACTGTAAAAAAATCAAATCATCACCTCGGCGTGAGCCGTTTTCGAAGGAGCCGTCGGCATCATTTCAGTGCGTTCGTCAACAGCTGCTTGAACTTCTCCAAGTTGATGCTCTTCATGACGAAGACCTTGTGTTTCTTCTTCAGCAGGTCCATGTAGTCCAGCACCATCATGCCTCGGGTGTGCTTCCCTTCCAACTCCACCGTCACTGCCACCTGGACGGGGAGGAAGACAAGAAGATGCGTTGAGGCGTCTCTGGGACATTTCTGCTGAAACCGACAGAGCGGCGTCCTTCAAACCTCTTCGCTCTCCGTCACCAGCGCGTCGTCGACGGCCGCAGCCAGAGCGTAGGTGTCACAGGTGTTGAACCCGGGTCCCGACACCAGCTCCTTTTGATACCGCTCGGTCTGGACTATCTACGGGGGGACAACCGAGACAGGAGACACGCGAGTTACATTTTATCCTCTTTTTTTTTTTTTTACAGGTGTGTTTTGCGTGAATACAGGAGCCGGCCGTGCCATTCTGGTATGGTGGGAGATCCTCTCCATGAAACGGGCCTTGTCGGTGTCCTGGGCCAACCAGGTGTCGCAGAAAGACTGAGAGAGGGGGGAGGAGACAGGAAGTGAGTCTACAACACCAACGCTTTGTGCGATTGCTATCGAGTGGAGGAAGTTACAGACCCACGGCAGGCTGTTTTTGCAGCTGAACTCCCAGGTGGCGATGTGGGTGGGGCAGGTGAAGCGGTCAAGCACGATGTAGGCCGCCTCGGGGTCGGCCACGAAGTTGAACTCCCCGCACACCGTGGTGTTGCCCCTGGCTGCGCGCACACACAAGCACACACACACGGAACACATTTCCCATCATCATCCCGTATGGAGACAAAAACATATACGGTCGATCCGAACTCGCAGACGACCCACATTCCATGTTTCCTCCCATGATGTAGAGCGCCTTCAGGTTCTTGGGGAAGGAGGGGTTCAGCTGTGCAGCGAGGGCCAGGTTGGTGAGGGGCGCCGTAGCAACCAGGCTCACCTGCGTGCAGCAACAGGTGAGAGGGAAACATCAACTGCAGTTCCCCTTTTTTTGAACATGCAGCATGCATGGATAGTTTGAATATAGATACAAAGGTTTGTGTCTGATTTCTCCTAAATACACCCCAAACGTTGCATTAGATAATGACCACTTCTGCATATTTAAACATTGACATTTAAAAATGTCAGAAAACTTGTTATGCTTGAAATGCAATAATTAATAAATACAAAAGAATCCCCTGCTTCATCATTTGTTTTTACTATTTTCACCTGTGGCTCCCCTTAAATAACCACACACTATATACACATTTAGTATATTATACAATTTTTGGGGGAAAACAGTCACATAGTCCCACCCTCTCCTCCCCACCTCTCCAGGATGCTGGTTGGCAATCTTAATTAAGGCCTGCGCAGCACTCCTCTTCTGCAGCAGCTCCAGGCCCGGAGCGTCAGGATCAGGGGCGTCGCCCAGCCCGTCCTTTCCGTGGAAATCTCCCGCGTGGCGTTGGATGCCTAGCAATGGGACCGTACAGCCGCGGTACACCGGGATCTGAGGAGCGTCACAGGTTAAGCATGTGGCATTTGTTACATCATGCGCCTGTTGCACATTGCCTTCCTCACATCCAGGCGGTTGCAGGCTTTCAGCACGCGCAGCGTGTTCCTGCAGGCGTTGTCCAGCTTCGTGTTGCCGTGGCTGCAGGTGATCCCCAGGATCTCCACGTTGGGGGCGGCGAGGGCCATCATGATGGCCTGAGCGTCGTCCACCCCGGTGTCCACGTCGAGGATCAGCTTCTTCTTCATCTCGACCTGAAGGGAAGGAGGAAGGCGGGGGAGGACACATGAGTGGAAACGCCTTTTCTCTACTGTGTGGGCAAAACACCTTCATTACCTTCCTGGTAAAAAACGAAAACAATCTTTGCTCAATCCAGTTTTTAGCGATCAGTTCACAAACTGTGGTGAGAAACCACGTCAGTGCAGCGTTTGAAAGAAAAGAGAATTAACTTACCAGCTGCGAAAGGTTTCAGCAACAAGTTCGATCCTCTTCTAACGTCAGCCGAAGAGTGGAACTTCTCCCTGCTGCACCGTGTGTCTTATACAGGAAACAACAAAAGAGGGGAGGTTATGTAACACTGCATGCCATGATGTGGGACGGGCCAATGGGAGCATAGTTGAGGTCGGTTGTTGTTAACTCAAAGCAAGCAGGCCAGATCAAGCCGGAGGGAAGTAACTTAATCTGTTGAGTTTGTGTAACAGCGTTTAGTCTCCTCCTGCTACTAAAGAAAGGTTTTTTCGTTTTAGTCCACGTTTAATTGCTTATTGCGCTTTGATTACGTTATCGGGCGTCTCTGGTTCCGATCAATTTCTCAGAGGACACTCGAGGACACTTGAGTAGTGTCTCTAGTTTCAGACCCTAAAATGCAACCAGGCCACATTTTTTTCTTTTGCTCATTTTTTTTAAGCATATCAAATTTCTGTATTTTTTAACAGCTCTGCAAAGCCACTCCCTTATTTGAGCAGAAAGAACGAGAAATTCCTGTTTTGTGTGTGAAAACTATTTTTATTAAGACCAGCTGGGAGTTTACTTGGTGGATTCAAGATTAGCTTGCACACAATAAAAAAAAGCAACCCTGCCAAAGAATGCTTCGGCCATGTTGTTGACACACTGCTTTGTTCTGCTTTCATTCTGGTGAACCGACGTCGGTCCGCGTCCGTCTACTTCAGTGAATTCATGCACATTTGCTTGAACTTCTCCAAGTCCACCTTCTTCATCACCACAGCCTTGTGTTTCTTCTTGAGCAGGTCCATGTAGTCCAGCACCATCATGCCTCGGGTGTATGTCCCCTCCAGCTCCACCGATACTGCGACCTGACACAGAGGCACGAGACCTTTTCCGTTTCAACCACCCGAGTGAGCCGCTTTCGCGTAACAAAGACGTCACAGCTGCAGACGCTCACCTCCTCGCTCTCCGTGATGAACGCGTCATCGATGGAGACGGGCACGGCAGTACACTGGGATCTGAGGGGGAGGAGGGCGGACACTGTGCTCGTGAAAGGGATGCGTTGTCCCAATGCCAGCTCCCAACTGCTGATATGAAGCTCCCCCTAAACCGCCATCAACTCTCCCCCACGCCCTGTGTGCTGTAGTTTGGAAGCCCAAACTCACGTCCAGCCCGTCGAAGACTTTCAGGACCCGCAGCGTGTTGTGGAGGACGTTCTCCAGGGGCGTGTTGCCGTAGCAACAGGTGATCCCTAAGATTTCCACATCGTCCGCGATGGCCACCATGAGGGCCTGAGCGTTGTCCACCCCGATGTCGGCGTCGATGATCAGCTTCTTCTTCATCCTACAGTGTGTCCAACAACAAGAAGAGGTTCATGCGTGCCACATTGCAGCTTTCAGCTTGTTGTTTTTAATATTCATGCGTCACTAGATGATAACATTTTGGTGCTATCAATTTTAGAATATTACACGTATGTTCAAGCTGTCCAGGTAACATTTGTGTTTATGTTTATTTCTGATTCCTCAATTTATCTTTCAAAAAAATAAAACAAAGAGGTTACAAAGAGGTTTAAGGGATTCAAAACGTTTATTGAATCTTTTAAAGGAAATCGTTACTTTTATTTTATATTTCAAATTTCAAGCCGCAGATGAAAAGAAGCAGCGGTCAGTTTCTCTCTCTGCTGTGTCTGTTTTCTTGCCGACTATTCTTATTTTTGCCCTCAAGTGTCAATATCCTATTTGGCTGTTTCTTCTATTTTATTCCTTTGTAGCATTAGCATTTATTCGCTTTTTGTATTGACTTTATCCTCCAGATGCATTTCTATATTCATGTAAAGCACTTTGATGTGCCTCATTGATGAACAATGTTAAACCAATCTCCCCTTCCCTTCTAGACAACTATGGCAATTGTATTTATTGCGCAATTTAAATGTTAAAATGTTAAAATATTACCTTTTTTGTTGAAATTATGGGCAAAAAAACATCATAAAAATAACATAAAATGCTCACCTGGTGAATGGAGCTCGACTGACGGGTACTGCTGTGTACTCTGGGAGCTGCTGACTGCTGTAGAGTCTAGAGCTGCCTTTAAAGGCTCGGAGGCATAGAGGTAACGAGGAAGAGGCCGCCGCATGAACGTCTGAAGAATATACACTGATAATAATAATCTGCCCAATCTACTTTTAAAAAATCGAGGCAACTATTTGCATTAATTTATTACATAAAACAAACAATGCTGGTTTTTGTATGAATTACTTTTTTTTTTTTATGCAGCAAATAAAATTTTCAATTAAACTTGACTTAATTTATCAAGTTAAGTCACCGTAATTTTGTAATTAAAGATAACTTTAATTTGGAAAGTTAATTCAACTTAAATTTATTTGTAAAATTAAGTTGACTTTACTATCAAAAATAAATTGACTTAACTTAAAATTGTAGGTTAGATTTACTTAAAAATAAGGAAATTACATACAATAAATTGAGTAACTGATACAAAAAACAGCACTGCTTGTTCTACGTAATCCTTTTATGCAAAAAGTTGCCTCGATTTCTTTAAGTAAATCAAGCCTTACCTTTAGGTAAAAAATTATATTAGTTATGAAATAATCACAATCAACATTGCCCAATATTTGAATTTACACATTTTTAGGTATTGTACACATGACTAAATTGTGCTTCATGGTGGTGCTATTAAACAAGCCATGAAATTATGACGTTGTCACGATTTATTCTCTGCACATCTTGTGCTTCAGTCCAATCCAAAGACAATCCAATAAATGCTGCTGTGAAACAAAAGATTCAGAACACATCACTGACTTCCATCCCTAGACTTTACCTAGATGAGAACTGGGTAATACTCTTTTTTTTGGGTAATAATAATATAACAGATATGAATATTAAAGACAACGATGTTTGGAAATGCAAGTTATCAAAACCCTAGGCCGTAAAACAGGCTCACACACATGATTATCATGTTTAAACAGTGTGTGACAGGAATGGACATTATGGTTAGCTTCAAATATTTTGCAAATGGTTCGCTTATGCAGACAACATGTTAACCCCACCAGCACAGCTAACATGTTTTCAAATAATAGTCCTTAAAATGTTTCAAACCTAATTTGGTCAGATATTGTAAATGAAATGTATTAGCAATTTAGAAATCAGAATATCGCAAAAAACAATTGTCTATACCTGACAAAACAACAAATAGTTTTAGGTAACTGTGCCTTTTAAAGTGCAGTGTTATTCTAACTACTGTGCAATTAAGATGAGAGAAAAACTCACCTAACTAAAATCTAAAACTACCTGCCAGTAAGGATGTCTGACTGAATTTTAGGCATTTAAGATGACCTTGAGATCATGGACCTTTGACGACATTTTTCGGTTTGCATCCTCCAGCTCCAACAGGATCATCTGGAATACCTCAAAGGTATATTTCAGTTTTTTAGTGTAGCTAAGTTCCATGGCATACATAAGAACCATCAGGTAGGCACAAGCAGGTGCAACATCAGAAATACCAAACAGAACCTCTGCTCCCTCGATGGCTGTTCCTGTTGACTTGGCAAGACTTTCATCCCTGGCTTTGGAGACCACAAAGATGTTGAGGACAAATGTAGAAATATCCTCTTGGACAGCTGCAGCATCGTTATCGTCACAAATCTGGGAAATATATAAAGGACGGAATAAGACAGGGTATCTGCAGGTATGAGGAAATTGAAGCAAAGGATTTTTAAGACCTAAACAACAGCACATGGAAATAAAGTTAGGTTAAATAAATACATTTTAAATATGTGCATAACTTCAAGTGTAATATAGTACATAGCACTGCATCGTATACATTTTCTGAAAGTTAAAATTGTTTATCTGTTCTTAAGAATGAAGATTTAATAAATACCGCAATAGAAACATATATAGATGATTCCACAAAGGCATCAACGATGCTGGATCGAACAATGGTGTTTCATACAGGCAGGGCTTCAAATCCAAGCATCAGAGGTATATTTTCTTTACCTGGTAGACCTTGAATAACTCCTCCGGTTTTTCACCAACGTAGAGAATGAGACCTCTGATCACTGCTTCTCTTCGAGATTCAATGCTGTTGTCCTGTAAAAATATGAAAAATTAGATTAAGTATAGTATAGACATCAGATTGCTACTAAACAAAACTGATGGCTAAACTGTGGTAAGTTCATGCCTCGTTCAATTTGTCAAGGGTCTCATCGAGTTTCTTCCCAACAGCTCCTCCCTTCCTTCTGTACAGGCTCAGCAGTTTGGGCTTGTATTCGTCCAACTTCCCCAGGAACGTGGACTTCAGTGTAATCCTCAGAAATTCCTCCTCAATCTGAGATATGGAGAAACATCACAATATACAGAAAGAAAGCAATTAGGGACACAAGTCAAGGCAAGGCAAGGCAAGGCAATTTTATTTGTATAGCACTTTTCATACACAAGGCAGACTCAAAGTGCTTCACATTATAACATTTCATACAATAAAGTGAAATAAAATGCAGGAATTAAAAGACAATTAAAAACAGCAAATACAATTATAAATTAAAATCTTATTTAAATTGTTTAATTAAAAGCAGAGGTTAAAAGTGCAATGTAGGTCAAATTTAGCAGAAGGCAAAGCTGAACATAAAAGTTTTCAGTCTTGTTTTAAACGTGGTCAGAGTTGGGGCAAGTCTTAAATCTTTAGGAAGATAAAAACGGCCGGCCAGTCAAGTACAAGTACAGTCAAGTTTATTTAGGCACTTAGTTTGGGCATAATTAGGCATAATTTCTTCTCACAGCTTCATAAAGTAAGTACAACCTTTACTACGTTCTCACAGTGATATAAGATAAGCATTGGGCAATGCAGTCAAAATGTTCAACATACCTGGGAAAGCTCGAACAGGGCAGGCCATCGAGCTTTGAGGTCAATCAGAGGTGGTTTCTTGAGAATTGCATCTTTTCGACACAGAGAGGTTTTTTACATCTTCTCATTGATGGTTTTATTGTTGTCCCTCTTCTTAACCTCGTAGAGCAGCTCCACTCCACTCAGACTCACACAGAATAATTGAAAGAAACAGAACTCAAAGGATGAGCAGTTTGTGAAACTTTGCCACCCAAAATCATAATATTTTGTGTAGCACATAATAACTACATTTATTTAACTTTTGCCTCACTTTCTCCGTTAAGTGTTCTTTCCGAGAATTGAAGAAAATCACTTGGTAAGGATACAAAGTCAAAATTAGTAGCTGACCATTAGAAGAAAATTTTTTAGTAATTAACATTAATTAACATTTTCCCAACTGGCTCTATAATTATAATTAACCTAGCATTTGTATATAACTCAATGCTGTGTGACATAATGCTATGTTTTGAGGGCTGCCATCTCAGCCAGCAAAAACTATTTATTACATAATAGAATACACAACAGATTTCCCTCTGGCGTTTATAAAATGTAACACTGCACCGTGAATGTGTAATTTTACAAACACTCAAGGTAACTTCTGTTCACCTCGTCCCGACCGCAGCTTCTCGGCACAAGTGGGTGAAAGCGAAGGTGCCATTAAACACGTCACTTAAGACAAATCACGGAAATTAACGTTAACCCAAGACAATCGTAACATTATCTTACAAATGACTAGCGTTATCCTAAGACAAATCACGTCACCTAACGTTAAAACAAAGCACTCACGTCCCCACGCACACCTTGACGATGCCCACACTGCCGCTAAACACCTGGCTGACATTGGCCACCCACCCGACTCTAACCCCCCTCAACTTCTTTGAGGCTGCGCATGTGAACGTTAGCCTGCAGCTATTGTTTAGCTTGTGCCACGGGCTACGCTAGCATGACCAAAAGTTATTACCGGATATTTAGTTATTTTAAGTTAAATACATTAACGACAACTGGCTAACTGAAACCTTGCTAAAGCCCTTCTTTTTTCACAATACCGGTAATGTTGCCTCTAGCGGTATTTTAAGGCCATTGCTAACATTAGCTTCGAGAAAAGCAACTGGTTTATTTAAATTCCACTTCTACGAAGATAAGACATCTACAAAGACTGCAGTATCCAACTAACTCACTTTAATTTGACTCCGTTAGCTGTATTCTTACCTTAAAGTTCAGTCCGCCGGAATAATGTCGAGGTTGCCGTTCCGTTGACTTCTGACCGCAGGTGTGAGACGGCGGAATTGGCGGTGAATGAAGGCGGTGAACCAGCCCAATGGCCAATAAAACCAGCCCCAAAACCAGCCCAATATCAGAACTCAAAATATGCCCCAGCCAAACCATATACAGTACACTGGTTTTAAAGTCCAACAGCATTGCTATCATTGCCAAATGTATCGTAATATGTACAAAGTGACACCAAATGTTTAGTATGCCAGCATTAAAAGCAGTTTTTTTCACCTAGGTCCTAAAATGGCCGTGTGTATTTAGATACAATAAATTATCATAAATAAAATATAGATCTGTGAACGTGTAGACCAATTCAAAAAGCGTTGGTATCATCCCCAGCCACACATTCTATCCATTTTTTAATTCCGTTTTCACTTTCCCTTTCTTTCGTATATTTCTTCCCGTATTTAGCCCACTTACCGGGTGTCATGTTTCTCCAGGGGTTGCTAGCTAGCTAGCTCCACTAACTACCAGACCAGAGTTGCAATCGAGCGGGAGACTGAGAGCGTTATGTGTATGTGGGCGTGTCCCATGTCCATGTGTGTACGTGCTGATCTGGAGTCAGTTTGGTAAGATTTGGGTATAAATAAATTATTTCATTTAAAATATGGATTTTTATTTAAAGATATTCATGTAATTTGCATGCAAAATAGGTCTACCCAAACCAGCGGACAAAAAATTCTACCCGCGGCAACAAAAGTAGCCCAATTCCGCGGGAAAACCGCGGACCTGGCAACACTGGAGTCGGCAGCTCGCCTCTGAAGTTGAGTCACATGGCTTCCACTACTGTGCCAAGTAAATACAACTATACACTGTTTCCCGTGTGCCTCGACGGCAGAAGATTCGCTGAGATTACACAGATAACGCTTGTTAACGAATGAATGCACAATGTTTTGTCATTTAAACATATGTGGGTTAAGGCCAGGGCTAATATTTTTTTTGTAGAGATAAACAACATTTTTATTGTTAATATCATATATGTAATTGCGTTAAAATTACACGGCCTCATGATGACTTTTATCAATGTATTCTCTTGCTTTATCTGAAAAGTTATAACTTGGAAGTAAGCTTTTGTTTCCGCAAATATCTTTTTCTTCTTCTTGATAAATGCATTCAAAGCTGCCTTTAATGAAAGCCAGATCAACAACATCAGAGCAGACTGTTCTGGGGGCATCATGTGATGGGAATGTCACATTGGACACAAGCAGTAAATCTTTTTTTGGTGCTGCATAAAGTTCTGCATCCGCTGCAGCACAAACAACATCTAAAGCACGAGGAATTAATACATTTGGCGGCAGGAATCACAGGGAAACAGTATAACTTGTGCTTTGACAAACTGCAGGCTGCTCAGCCAAATCGATCTGGACCAAAAACATCTTTAAAAACATCTGGACTGAACATCCGGAGACCTTCTGCTTTAAATTAGCATTCTGGTTTCTCCTGGAATTTGCGAGCTGTATTTTCCAACGAATTGAACACATTCACACAAATAGATAACAAAGAAAGTCCAGAGAGATGTTTTAAGGACACAAGTCTATTTTATTCATTCTGGTGAACCGACGTCGGGCCCTCATCATGTGACCGCGTCCGTCTACTTCAGTGAATTCATGCACATTTGCTTGAACTTCTCCAAGTCCACCTTCTTCATCACCACAGCCTTGTGTTTCTTCTTGAGCAGGTCCATGTAGTCCAGCACCATCATGCCTCGGGTGTATGTCCCCTCCAGCTCCACCGATACTGCGACCTGACACAGAGGAACAAGACCTTTTTCGTTTAACCACCCGAGTGAGCCGCTTTCGCGTTTCAACGACGTCACAGCTGCAGACGCTCACCTCCTCGCTTTCTGTGATCAACGTGTCGTTGATGGCGGCGGCCAAGGCGTAGGTGTCGCAGGAGTTGAAGCCTTTCCCCTCCGTGACCTCCTTCTGGTAGTCCGCTGACTGCGCTTTCTGCAGGGACGAGATGTTAACCGGCTGCCGCTAGAGGGCAACATCTCAGGGTTTATGTGAGGCACGCGTGGAACATCTCTGACATATGAGGGATTTCATTTGATCACTGCACAACATTTCCTTGGAAGATAAATTGCAGGTGCTGTACTGAGCGCTGGTGCGTGATAACCTTTCCGGCAACATCGTTATCTACTTGATCCAACACGCTCCGTGTTGCATTCTGCACAATCCCATTGTCATGTTCAATAAACCATGTCTGTGCACGCAGTCTCTTACCTTCATCGAAAAGGCTGAAATCTTCTTCATAAAGCGAGCCTTCTCTGTGTCCTGAGCCAGCAACTTGTCACAGAAAGACTGAGGGAGGGAGAGGGCAGGGGGGGGGGGGGGGGGCTGTTACTTTACTTGAAACACAAACAGTGAACGCGTGCGTTGTGCGTTCAGTCCAACTCACCCACGGCAGGCTGTTCCTGCAAGTGAACTCCCAGCTGGCGATGTAGGTGGGGCAGGTGTAGCGGTCCAGCACGATGTAGGCCGCCTCGGGGTCGGCCACGAAGTTGAACTCCCCGCACACGGTGGTGTTGCCCCTGGCTGCACACACGGCCATTGTCATCGGCCCCATCCAGGAACACAAGATTCAGCAGACACAAATGCAGACTCGACAACGGGGAACCTACATTCGACGTTTCCACCCATGATGTAGAGCGCCTTCAGCTTCTTGGGAAGGGAGGGGTCCAGCTGCACCGCCACGGCCAGGTTGGTGAGGGGCGCCGTGGCAACCAGAGTCACCTGCACACACGCGGGATGGGACAAGCGAAAGCTTTTGTGTTACCAGACTCCCCACCGCCCGCACCGCCCAAGAGGTGTGTCTCACCTCTCCAGGATTCTCTTTCACCATCTTGATCAAGGCCTGCACAGCCTTCTTCTTCTGCAGCAGCTCCAGGCCGGGGGCGTCCGGATCCGGGACGTCCCCCAGGCCGTCCTTCCCGTGGTAATCCCCAGCGTGTTGTTTGCGGGCCAGCAGGGGGGTTGAGCAGCCGCGGTGCACCGGGATCTGAGGAGTGTAAACCCACTTTAATGCAGGCGGATCACCAGAACTCCTTTGACATGCAGCGATTTTTTACAGGCGGCGACAAGACTCACGTCCAGGCGGTTGCAGGCTTTCAGGACACGCAGCGTGTTCTTGAGGACGTTCTCCAGCGGCGTGTTGCCGTGGCAGCAGGTGATCCCCAGGATCTCCACGTTGGGGTCGGTGACGGCCATCATGATGGCCTGAGCGTCGTCCACCCCTGTGTCCACGTCGAGGATCAGCTTCTTCTTCATCCTGCGTTCTACAACAAGGGAAAAGACGAGAAAAACTGCTTTTTGACACAACTTGTTTCCAGACTTTTGATTTGTTGAAAAGTGTGCGCGTCTAAATCTCATTTTCTGCTCAGGTAGCGTCACATACACACGCTCCTGCTTACAATGTTCAGGAGGTGGAGTTTGCCCTTGGGGCGTTTTTGTACCTGCAACGTAACATTAGCTGGAACATTCCGGAGTTTTAAATCTTCATTGAATACGAACACTCCCTCATTCAGTGGGACATAAAAGGTTTTTAACTGGTATTTGACAGATTTTCAAGAACTGTGTAATCTTATCTATATGGCAACTCTTGTTTGACTCGTGCTAATACACCTTTAAATGTCGTTGAAAGGTTCGTACATGGACTGAAATCAGATTTAAATGTAAAATCCTCACCTGGTGAGTGGATCCTGATGGATGTCTACTGATGTCTTTGTGGAGAGCGGAGAGGCTGAACGCACCACCCCGAAGACGGTCCTTTTAAAGCAACATGTAAATACCCAAGGGGAGGGGGCGATGAAGTGGTGCTCCACCCACCAGCCCGTATAATGCTTGAGGTTTATTAACACTTTACTTGCATCTACTTTGGACATGAACAGAAAACAGACGACAAAGCACAAATAAGTCTTGTTTATTGCAAAATTCTGCAGCGAGAAAAAAAAATCCAGTTGTATTGCTCTTTTCATTACTCAATTAGTCCCTTGCAGACGCGATGAAATCAGAAAATCATGCCCATTGACTCATTTATTCACCATCTGTTGTTCAGCTCATCAGTCCTGGAACCCACGTTCCTCCTTCATCTCTTCTCTGATATCTCCGAGCATGTCACTGCACGAGCAGGAACACAACTCAGACCGGCAATGGAACTGGCGCGGCCTCAGAATCTAAGAGCGTCCTGCTGCAGGGCTCCGATGGCCAAGATACCAGATTCATATTCTGCAGACACCATTAGACAAGAAGATTTTTACTTAGATTTTTCCAGTTTCTCCTCTTTCCCGTCTTTGCTTAGACGACAGGAAGTCTGCGCTCTTTCACAGGCTCATTGTCTTCTGGCTCATCTGATAATTTAGATGTTTGTGCGCCGATGTTTGTTGTCTCCAAAGGTTGATTGTCTACCTCTTAGGTTGCCTACCAGCGCTTGGTTTTTGCCTGTTTCCCTGTTTCAGCATGTTTATCTTCCCTGTACATGGTCCCGCTCTGAAGATGAAGACCTTTGAGTAGCCTCGACGGATACCATGGTGCATGTTGTCAATTCTGTCTGCATGCTTGCACGCATTTAATAAGATGTGTCCTGTTTGATGATTGTCGCTGTATGGTTAGACCTTTCCTAGCTCCCTGACCATGCTGAAGTTTTCAAAATAATAGCAGGGCTTTCTTGTCCCAACATGCTCGTATTCTGGAAGAATAATGTGAAAATGCAGGAGTGAGATTTTATTCAGTGACCCCTGACACAGTGGACTCGATGACACTTTGGGTTCTTCCTGCCTCACTGAACCTGCTCAAACCTGCTACGGTATTCATGCCTTGTGTAGTTTAGGCCTTCATTTGAGTTTGTAAACTTGTGTGTTCTGACCGGAGGCAAGAAAGAACTTGAGAATCCAGCTGTACTGCTACTCAAATTGCACGCTGCAGACTTTTTTTTTTACACTGTGTTTTTCCAGACTTTCCTCTCTTGGCAATTTTAGTCAGCACAATTAAAAAAAATATATTTTTTACTTAATAATTACTTTTCTTTTATAATGACGCAGAAGGAAAAAAACACTGCAGTGCAAAAATCCCATCACACCTTTAATAGTAAAAAGTATTCTCAAGGAAGAAAACAACAGTAAAACTTTCATTTCTTTTACACATAATGGTCGTATATTTTGTTCAACTTCAAGAATTTCCCAGTTTAACTTAATTTTCCAATGAAAGAATACAAATGCACACAAACACATCCGCTCGTGCTTCCACCTCGAACCTCCAGCCCCTGGTTTCGTACCGCACAGTCCGTCCTTCATTCTCCGGGGGCTTCTGCGCTTGGCGACGCGGGTCTGGGCCTGGCCAGGTTGGCCCTGACCCGGGCCTGGTCCACGGCGTCCAGCAGGTTTTTAGAGTCCAGCGCCAGCGTGTGAGCGGCTGCCAACATCTGCCGCTGACACTCCTCCCTCAGCGAGGTCACCGAGTTCTGCTGGGCCAGTCGCATCTTCATGATCAGCTCCCCTAAATCCTTGTTCAGCAGCTTCTTGGTCCCCTCGATCTGAAGAGGGAGAGCAGAGGCCGATCAGACCGGACGTCACGCGGTCGCGCGCTGAGACTTTAACGCCCAACGTGTTCCCTCTCGGGAATCAACTGGCGTGACGCGAGGAGAGAAGAGGGTGAGGCTGACCTCTGTTAAGACGGAACTGTGCAGGGACGGCAGGATCTCATCCACGCTTTGGATCAGGCTCCGCAGGGTGATCCCCACCTCCTGAGGGTGGGGCGGGGGCAGAAGAAGACATAGCTTAGTTCACTACGGTCACCTTTTAACTGCGTTCTTAAACCAGAAGCAGACGACCTACCTGGACACAGTTGGGATACTCGGAGGGTGGCCGTGTGTTGACGTCATTCTTCAGCTTGACCACCTGTTTCACCATCGCCATGACGGCCGTGTAAACCTGGTCACCTGACCGGTCCAGCTCAGCGGTGGGCTGAGGCTTCAACGCACAGCACAGAAAATTTGAATTTTGTTCTCGTCATAATAAAAGCAACACAGTGAGAGGATGTGTTTGTTTTACCTGTGTGGCTGGGGAAGGCATCGGCCGCTTTTCTGGAGGATCTGAAGGAGAAAGAAAAGGTATGCGGAAATCAATGCCTAAATTTGTCATTTTAATTACCATTTTTGTCTTGGAATGTTTGCAGATTGCAACCTTTATTTAATGTTATTAGTATTTTTTAACTATTTATGCATTTGGTAGGTGCTTCCTAGAGGCACGGCTTTTCTATATCATACTGCCGCTTTATCAAGCAACATTTCAAACATTAACAGTGCTAAGAGAGTTAAGACACAGTGAAGCCTGTTAAAGAAGGCTCACCAATTGCTGGACTTTTTTCAGGAGCCTGCAAAAAAAGAAAGAAAACAGGATGTGAATCTAAAAAATTCATGTCGGGTCAGAGGTCAGGGTTTTTTTGTAAATCGGAAACGTTGGAAGTGTTTAATGCAGCTTTAATATAACTCTCAAATTAGCATGGGCGGATATATAAGAACAAGTGCCTTGACCTGAGAATCCACTCTCACAGGATCCTACAGAAAAAGTGAATGCAGGACTGATTGGACGCTGTACGCTGGTCATGTGTTTTTTTTTGCATGTGTTGTCTTGCCATAACACGTAGCTCTTTTGTCACGCTCTGTGCTCCCTTTAAAGAGCGGTGCACAGCATGCTCTGCTATAATACCTGACAGGAATGTGTGTGTGTGTGTGTGTGTGTGTGTGTGTGCCGTTTCTCACCAGCTGTCTCTCCTCCTGCTCCAGCCACTGTTTGTCCATCATCATATCTCTCTTTTGTCTTTGTAAAGTGTTCTCCACGCGCTCTTGCTCTTTCTGCCACACCGGCCTGGTGTCCCTGGCTGTTCCCTGGACACACAAACACAAACACACACAAAAACACACACCCTTTAAATGTCCCTATTCAAGGTGGTGTACCATGATGGTTTGAATCATCTTTTTTGAGCAACCTGTTACTCAATTTCTAGGAACGTATTTTGCATTTTGTAACTGAATTTGTACACTCAAACTTTCCCTTTTGACACCTCGGGTTAAGGAGCCGCTGTGAAAACGTGACTCAACAACAGACTTCCTTCCTGTGTCGGATGTACTTTGGCTGCCTGATTGGTGTGCCAACATTTTTACTACATTGTTTACCACATTATGTTTAATAACAATAGCATTTTATGTTTTTCGCACCAACAGGTGCATACACACCTGCATGTGTGTGCCTCGAGGAAGGGTATTGCTGTGTAATCTGGATGGCTGGTGAGAAAGACAGAGAGGGGAGATGTGATTTAAAAACAGCCACTTTATTCCTTGACTTCCACAAAACGGCTCCGCTCGTGTTCCCCGGGGGGCCACGGGGCCACAGGGCCACGGGGCCCCGCGTACCTTGGGCGGAGGCTCGGCGCCGTGGTCCAGGCCCGACGGCGCTGCCCCGGTCAGCGGTCGGTTTTGCCTCGCTTCCTTCTCCAGCTCCATCCTGTGGAAGTCACTGACACACCAACGCAGGCGAAAGATGTAATAACATCCTGACTTCATGTGTGTTACTTGTGTTGTTGATTTCATTTTTCTGCGACTTGACCTCAAGCCAATAAAAAACGTTTTTTTGTCAAATACACAAACATATTGAGCTTGATCTGTTCTTTTTTTTGCATAGCTGAAAGAACAGACTTGAATCTCTGAAAACCACCAAAACCTCGTGGAGACCGGCGGCACTGAGTAGAGGGACGTGCGGGCACCTCAGGGAGCAGACGAGCTGGCTGAACCTGGGCCGGCCGCGCGGCTCGTAGGCCCAGCAGCGGCTGAGCAGCGAGTACACGGTGGGCGGGCACTGCTGGGGCTTCGGGAGCCGGATGCCCGACTCCAGCTGGTCGATCACCTGCCCGTTCTCCAGCCAGAAGAACGGCTGCTGGGCTACCGAGAAGATCTCCCACGCGCAAACGCCTGGTCGAACAAAGAGAAAAGCACGACGGCCATCTTGATTCCTGAGCTGTAGACGTCAGTGAGCCTGTTCCTGCCGAGTTATCTTTGTCTGTGTGCTAAACCAATATACGTTCTACTTCCTCATAAGTTGTATCACAGTGCAGTCGGCATTTGCCAACAAAAAAAGGTTCGCAAACGCGGAGCTCAACATGGTTTTACTTCATACTAAGCAATTAAGGATAAATTAGTAGTGAACCGCACTAGATGCACTGAGCTGAGCATGTGTGTATTTCTCACCAAACATCCAGACGTCACTGGCGGTGGTGAAGCGCCTGAAGTTGATGGACTCGGGGGCCATCCACTTGATCGGCAGTCGGCTCACCGAGGCTGCACGCATTTGAAGAGAAACGGATTGCTCGTATTTTGGTACTTTTGCAAAGACTGAATGAATGTGAATGCATTCAGGAGGTAAACAATTAGGTTTAACCTCCTGAGAACAGAAAGAAGATTCAACACACTTTAATTGTTTCCCAAAGACATCTGTGTGTGTCTGTGTGTGTGTGTGTGTGGTGTGTGTGCACCTTTATAATACTCTTGTTCGTCTACATAGCGCGACAGGCCGAAGTCGCCGAGCTTGACGCACTCAGGAGACGCCACCAACACATTTTTCACCGTTATGTTTCTGCAGCACACAGACGCAGCAGAAATCACACCTATTAATTATGGCTGTTCAAATAGAGACAGTAGAGTGTGTGTGTGTGTGGGGGGGGGGTGGTCTTCTCTAATGAGTTACCGGTGCACCATGTTGAGGCCCTCCAGGTAGGCCAAGGCTTTGCAGATCTGCAGGCAGTACAGTGTTAACGTGGCAGTGGTCAGGGTGTGCTGCTCCTGTACGAGGTAGCCCCCCAGCTGCGAGGGAAACGAGTCACACATCAGCACACGCCCCGCGGCCGCTCAAGGCACACAAACACGGCAACGCACCTCTCCGTGTTCCAGGAGCTCCATGACGATCCAGACGGGATCGTCCTCGATGACTCCGATGAGACGCACGATGTGGGCATGGTCCAGGTTTTTCATCAGGTCTGCGCGAGACGGAGCAGCTCGGGTGAAGAGCGTAAAGATTTACAGGCGTCATAGAAAGAAGACAGCTAAAGGCCATCGCTGTGGAGGACACTGTGTCTTAACCCAAAGGAAACCCAAAGCTTTCGGTTTGACTCGAGAGTGAAACGTAGACTCCAACCGCCGTGTTCGTACCAAAGAGCTTTTGCAAAGTGATGAATTGTAATCGTCCTTGTCTTGTTTAAATAGTTTACGTTTTCTCTTTCATTCTTTTGTCATCAAAGAGAATTTTAACACCGGCGGCTGTTTTCAGTTCCGTTAAAAACAAAGTTAACAACATATCGGAGCGTTTAGCATCTAAAAGGGCGAGATCTTTCCCGGCAGGGGCGGGTGGAGACCACACGTTTTCTATATGACTAACTATATATGGTGATGATTTGTCATTGAGCTTTCTCCACTCAGCAGCCAAGAAGGTATAAATGCAGCTTTAAAGTTAGTCAAGTGTGTCTGGAGGATGTCCCCCGCTGTGGGACCGACACCGTTGTCATCTCTGAGCATAAATCAAAAAGGCTCTCTTGTGTCGAGCCTGAGAATGCCGCAGCCTCCGCCATGAGCTTTTTCACAATCGCCACATCCGGGCAACAGGAAGTCGACACCTGAAACCCTGAAACGTTCTAAACTTCCCACCCGCAGTGTTGTGGCGCGACGCTTACCGGCTTCACTGAGAAACTTCTCTTTCACTTCCGCCGAGAAGTCCTTACAGGTTTTGATGGCTACGCAGATCCTCTCTCCGGCCTACGAAGCACAAGCACACGTCATCCACCGTGTTTGGGGGAGGGGGACCAGCGACGACCCCGAGGGCTCCACCGAACAACTCACAGGGCTTTTGTAAACGCCGTCGTGAACCTCTCCGAAGAAGCCCTCGCCCAGGATCCGGCCCACGGCCACCTGCTGTCTGGAGATCTTGTGCTTCTCTGAACATGGGGACACAGAGCAAGAGGCGTATCAGGTCGGCTCTTCCAGAGACGAGGAGGCAAATAATTGTTTGTACGATAAATATCACAAACGGGGACAAACAGGGTTTAAACTAGTTTTTCTAGGAGTTTCCAGTGAAACACGACTCACCAGAGGAGACGTTTTCGCCCTCTGGAATCTCAGCATAAATGTCAGAACCTGAGTTTGAAGAAAGATATTGGTATCCGAGTGCGTCTACTTTACATTTGTTGTTCTTTTTACAGCCACGATCCCTCAGGGAAACAAACTGGAATCATTTCTGAACAGTCCAAGTCGATTATTACTCTCCACATCTCATGTGTAATTAAGTGAAATACTCACTCCGGCCTCCATACGGACTACTGGCACAGCCACTGGGGGAGACTGCGTTAAAGCGAGCCTTCGTGGCAACATTTCCATCAGTCTGTGACCTTTTGGAAATATAGAAAAATATGAGCGCAATAAATGAATGAGGAAGGTGGGAAAATGAAATGCAAAGGTGCTTTGACTAAATTTCTTTACAATGCGATTCGTCACGCTCACCTTTGGGGGATGTCGGGTAACTTCAGTCTCGCATCTCTCCCTGATGGAAAACAATCTTTAGTTCAGTTCATCTCCCCGAGGTTTAGAAAAATGAATAATGAGAAGGTTGTAATGTCCGAGTAAGAGCAAATAATTGCGCCTATGGCCGTGCAAATCCCAGGGTAATTTTAAAGAGAGGTAACACGCTCTTTTGACATGACAGCGCCCACTCGGTTTGATGACCTACACCTGTTTCAATAGAAGATCAATGCTTCAAACCATTAAATCCACTTGTTATGAAGCCATTTTTCTTTATGCTGTCTGTAAATAGGACAGATGCTGATGATTAATCCCACTTGAAGTAAATGTTGCTGAATAAAGTCATTATGTTTTAATGGAAAATAGAAGCAAAAAGGTGCCATCGATGTTTGACGTGCAGAGGATGCAGGTGGGTGTAGCGTGTGTGTTTTCTGCCATATCATCGACTTAAATATACCTTTGCCGGGCCGGATAATGAGCGAGTTCTCGGAGGCGCCCTCCAGCCGGCAGTAGCCGTCGATCAGGTCGGCCATGTTTTCTGCCACGGCCAGGGAGGACGTGTTCACAGACAGCGGCTGGAGGTGTTGAAGACACAAAGAAACGTACATTTATATGGTTTGATTAAAGAAAATCCTGCCAGGGTTGCCACAACGTCACTGCGATCCAACCCTTACTTCTCCTTTACACCGAGAACCTCTACATCATCATCTGCCCACTTCGTGGCCTGGGGATTAAACAAATGTGACAATAATCGACCCAAAGCGTTGACCTATTCCTTTATGACGTCACCTGTTTGGCTCCCTCTATGTGCACGGTGAGCAGAGCCTGGCCGTCGCTCTCAGCAGAGCAGGAGATACTGCGCACCTGAGAGAACGTGGCCAAACGGATGGGCTGCAAAAGAGACAGGCACACTTATTTTTACATGCACATTCTGAGCCCTCAGCTTCTGCAAATGAGGCACATAGTTGCCGAGGTGTTACGTGCAGTGTCTTTGTGTTTTCACACACTTTAAATTTTTTTCCATGCCATCATGTGCACACGTCTTGTGCAGTGGATACAAACCCGTCATATTTCACCTGGATTGAAGAGGAAAAGAGAGTTAGCTCACCGTGGAGTTTTCGGTTTGCTGACTGATGCCCTCGGGGCCGATGACCAGGTCTATCGTTAGATTCCATCCGTGCTGTGGACGACACGCAAACGCCCTCAGAAAATGAAGCATTTGGCTGGAAATGACCTCCAACCTCTCTCGCGCTCACCACCAGCCTGCAGGCGAAGCGCTCCTGCGTGAAGCTGTAGCACTGAGCCAGAGTGGTGAAGAACCTGGTCATGCACTGGTCCTGCTTCAGGGTGGAGTAGCCCTGGAACGTCTGCTGGATCAGCCGACGTAGCTGTTTGGGCTGAGAAGTGTGCATGCAGACTGGTTATAAGCGTGTGACCTCTGTGCAGAATGCACAGCATGCGCGGCGCGGCGGCTCGTTACCTTCATGCTGTTGATCAGCTCTTTGGGGAAGAAGATGTCCAGGCCCACGTCCCTCCTAATGGAGGAGAGTCAGACCGCCATCAGAGAAAAAAAAAACTTTTCAAAAGCACGCAAACACGTCCGAGAACAGTTTGGTCATGACGGCCATTGGTGCACAAAGCCAACAGCCCATGTGACTCACTCCAATAGTTCAAAGTTGGACTTCTTCTCCAGTCCGTTGGGATTCATGTCTTTGTAGAATCTCCTGCAAACGTGACAAATGAACTCAATGAGAATTTGATTCTTTTCATCAAAAACAGCAAATCTCCGGATGTTTTGTTGGATCTGCAACAGAAGCACGTTTTTTTCTTCCACCAGGTGGCTTTCTAGTACCTAATTTCCAGACAACCGAGCTGTAGAGCCATCCCATCGCTGACCTTTGAGGCGTACTGCTGCATGTAGTCACTTCGTACCTGTGAATAAAGACGCACACTTACAAATACAAACACTCCCATACCGTCGCTGATCTAAACCCAATCCCACCAGAATCCTTCTGGAAGAGGTACGCAGTTAAATCTAAGAGTAATTTACAAAAGTAAGCGTATAGAGAAACCAACATACCTGCTTGTAAAAGTAGAGCATCGTGGTTGTGTCCTCTTTGAATTCCTCCATGAAGTCCGACGGGATGTATCTGATCCTCAGGTCGTATCTGTGCGGACAAGCAGCACCGTTAGCTCGGCCCGGGACGCTTTACACCAGAGAGCCCCGCCGCGGCACAGAGAGCCAAGTACCGACCTCCACTCGGCCTCCAGGTGCTGCTGCTCGTACCGCCGGGTGAGTTCGGCCACCGCCAGGTCCGGGTGAAGCCAGTGCACCTCCGAGGACTTGAGGTGTTTGAGGAGCATGCAGTAGCACAGTCTGTGTGTTATATCTGGACCCACACAGCCGCTGGACAGCACCACCTTGATGATATCCTGGGGAGGAAAGAGGGACGCGCGGATGTCCGCGGGGACGTGGGCTTTTAAGAACGTGCAGTGCAGCGGAGGAGAGTGTGATAGGGGACGTTTAGAACGGGAAAGAAGAATGGACCAGGAGAGGGAAATTCAGAGCAGAATAAATGAAGATACAGTGGAGGAAAGGAAAGTAAAAAGGACGAACAAGCACATCGTTGTGAGGGAGAAAACAGAATGAGGGCAGCTGAGGAAGTAGGGTACAATAGAGGAGAGTAGTAGTATTTATATTACGGGAAAGTACAGTAGAGAAGTGTGAAGTGTACTTAGTAAAGTGCATTTGACTACAATAGCATGCAGTTCAGTAGAGAACAGCTGAGTAAGTAGAGAACTATGGCGTAATATCCGACAGCCCAGAGTGAAGTAGTAGCAGAACAGTGCAGCGGAGTACACAAGAATACATCAGAGTGTAATAAGTGGAGTGAAGGCAAGCAGTAGAATAACTAGAGAACAGCAGAGTTTACCTTGACAGTCCATCCTTCCTCACAGCGGACCAGCTTGAAGTTCTTCCCCAAGTTGCAGTTGTTGCTAAGGAAACACACTTTGATGATCTTCGCCGGGAAGATGCTGTCCCTGCCGACAGTCGCCGGGGGAGACGTATCGGAGGAATCTGGAGGGCTTGTGGGAGACATGCTCCTCCACTGCAGCGTGCAGCTGTCTCCAGACATCACACACACACACACACACACAGACACACAAGAGCAGCGTAGACGCTACTGCACGCACACGTACATCTTTTCACCCTCTTCCTTCTCTCTCGAACACGCGCAGCCACTTAGAACCCAGACACGAAGGGACGCATCGACGCTGGAGACAGGCGGACGATGAGTCGGACGCCACAAATCAACGGTGATGCTGTTGGGTTTTGAAGAACATTGAGATCTGAGCTAAAGGTTCTACTTCTGCTGCGATCCGTGCGCACTCACCGGCCTTGCCCGAGCTCCGCAGCTCAGCTCAGCACCGGGAACGTCCGGTTCGGCCCCCGAAAGTGAAGACAACAGACTGCGCTCATGATTCCTTGTGAAGTGCAGATTTCGTCTCTCCTGTTTGGCAGGTTAACGGGTCCGAGTAGCACGAAGCGGGGCCACAGAGAAAGAAGGAAGGCGTCAGTGAGCAAAAGAGGAAACGACGCTGACGGGCAAAATAAGGAAGTTGACGAAAAACTGACAGGGCTGATGAAACTGCCTGTCACCCCCCTGCCTCACATGCACTGGCACATACAAAGAAACCACAGCACAACCCCACATGTGCAAAAGGGGCAGCCGCTAAGCACACTCACTTCCTCCTCCGAAGGTTTTGACAAGCAAAAGAACAGAACAGGTCGAAAAACTGGGGGTGTAGGCTACAACATTGAGCCGATATCTGTATGAACTCCTTCAACATCAACAATGACAACACAGGTTGATAGTTTATAGGTTTTCAATCAAGCTTTGCTGAACTAGGAACCGACATTCGTGGTCGTCAGAAATGCACTTTTAGAGTTGTCTCAAGTCAGGCCTGTTGACCCGCAGAGAAAAACTTTAAAGGAACTTCTTTGCTCTGAAGCCTCTAATGCAAATCAAATTTATTATAATGATATGTTCAGAATATATATAGCACAGCATCAAGAGAGAGAGAGAGAGAGTGGAAGCTCTCACCATCTGTTTTACTGACGTCACAAATGAAAGTGACACTGGTGTTGCCTTAATATTTAGGTTACATCCTGTTGTACGTGGTTTGCATCGTCACACCATGTTTTAGGGTTTAGAGGACTTAAAGGCAATAGTTTTTTTGTTGTTTCTTACCTATTAAAATAAGGCACAAGATAAGTGATGGAAAATATTAAAGAAAACATTTAAATATAAAGTGATATAGAGATTTAAAGTGTAGAATTTCTGAAAAAAATATAATATTGAAAGTGATTTAGGTTTCACATGCAGCTCATAAGCCACTTGTAAATATACTTATATAACGTTATAGAATTGATAACATTAATTACTAAAATACTAATGACATTTTCATATGCGATTGTGCTTTTTATTTACTCCCTGCGAGGTGTTTTACTTCTCCAAATGTTGTAGCATGTGGTATTTGCATTGAGCTATTATATAGTTCACAAACCACTGTCAAGTGGACACTTTGTCATCAGCTAAAGCTGTAACCCAACTTGTCCAGCAGAGGGCGACGCCAATCACACACAGGTCATAACATGCTGTCAGTCACCGAAGGACCTGTGACCCGCTCACGCTCACGTGGTCACAGGACGAAATCGACTTTAACACGCAAATTATGCTTCATTGAATACATCAGTGCATTGGCACAACTTCGCCCCACGGGCGAGTCGCTTTTTATGACGTCACTGGTATCCAAGCAACGCTCGTTTTAATTAGGACATTTTTTTACTGATTAGATTTTTCTTACAACAAAATGTTCCTGACAAATCAGCCGCGTATCTTAAATGTGTTTATTTAATATAAATGTAGTTTGGCGTAGCGCGGTTTTAATGTTGGAATTAGAGATTCATCTTTAAATACATTTAATTTGTAATTTGTCGACTTCCTTTAATGAGGCTCGTCGCCTGTATTTTCTGTGAGGTTCGATTAGCCGGTTAGTCATCGATGGGACCGTCCTGCGGTGTGCTGTGTCAAACTGCTCAATACCAGCGTGGGTTAAAGCGGAAGCTAGACGGGGTGGTTTTCAAAGTAAAAGGGCTGCGTTACTGACTAAAGTCATTCAGTTATTTTGGCTGGGAAGCGGCTATTTGGTTCAATGTTCGGATTTGAATATTTCTAGTATGCAGCGCTGAGTTGATCCACAGGCTGATCCACGCATTTCCATTTAGAAATACAAAATGTATTTCCTATTGTTCCCATGTTCCATGTCGAAATGTCCCTGAGCAAGACATCCAACCCCTAATTGCTCCCCGAGCAAAAATGTGAAAAAGCCATGGGTTTAAAGTGTAATGTAAGTCCCTTTGGATGAAAGCGTCTGCTAAATGACCTGTGATGACACCGTGAATGATTCATTATTCATTTTACAATGATTTTGTAGACAATAAAACACACTTAACATATTTTGTGTATCCTTTTTATGCCGTTTTTTAATGAAATAGCATGCCTTTATAACGGCCTCCTGTACGTTGTCTAAATGTATTTGCCTCGCCGGGAAGTATGTGCTTTTATTTTGAAAACCACCAAAGGAAATCGTGTTTCAGAGTGCGCCCCTTGATGCTGCTGTACAGCTGTGCCAAGGTGACAGAGAGAGAGATAGAGAGAGAGAGAGAGAGAGAGAGAGAGAGAGAGAGAGAGAGAGAGAGAGAGAGAGAGAGAGAGAGGTGGGAGTGTGCAGTGAGGGACGATGCGAAGCTGTTAAGGGAAGGAACCACCTCCGTCGTGCCCACGTCCAAACGAGGCGGGGCCGGCTGACCCCTCCGTCTCATTCTGGACGGACCACCAACAGGACAGCGCTGCTCTGCTGCTGCTGCTGCTGTAGTAGTAGTTGTTGTTGTTGTTTGCGTAGGACATTGGAGGATCCGGCCATGAATTCGGCCGAACAGACGGTAACGTGGCTCATAACGCTGGGGGTCCTGGAGTCTCCCAAGAAAAGCATCTCTGATCCGGAGGCTTTCCTCCAGACGTCTCTGCAGGATGGAGCTGTGCTGTGCCGGCTGCTGGAGCGACTCAGACCCGGCACGGTGGACAAGGTGAGTGGATCGGGGGACACGGGGTGAAGAAAAACAAGAAAAAACAATAACCCATTAGGAAATAAATGGGGTATGTGTGAAAACATGCAGGGTAACATAAAAGGCTAATTGGAATAAGCCCGGAGGCTGCAGACAGTGCACACGTAAACCTGAGTATTATATGAACATTCAGAAAACATGCGAGTTGAAATTGTATTTACAATCTGACTTTAAATAAAAATGCAATGAAAACATCGCCATAAACTATTTAGACGCATTCTTTGACGTCTTTCCACTTTAATATTAATAAATGTAAAGGGAGCACTTTGTAGACACTTCAATATTAAATTGTTGTAAAGAGCCTTTTAAAAGTATAGTAAGTAATAACATGTTTTGTGTTATCTCACTTTTATGTGTTCTTTTTACCCTTTGTCTTTTTTCATGTTTCAAAGGATGGATGATGATGTGATATTTGACCCCTGCTCAGATTCATTTGTAAAATGATATGCGCGTAATACTAATAATGCAAATTAAACCAGTTAGTGGTTATTCCATCACAAATTGGTCCGCATTGGTCACCAAAACCAGTACAAGCCTGCAGTAGTAGAGGTGTAGCCTCCTACCCTTCTCTCTCTCCCCCCTCTCTCTCTCCCCTCTGTCTCTCTCTCCCTCACACACACACACACACACACACACACACACACACACACACACACACACACACACACACACACACACACACACACACAATGGACCATAAGTCTGTCGATGTCATTCCCTCTTTTGGCTTAACCAGCTTCACTGTAATATCTCAATCAAATTAGCTTCTATTAGCTTCAAGTCTACACAGAGGGTTGTTTCAAAATAAAGGCATAGCTCGGGTCAGCAGTGGTCAGATGCTACGCGGCGCACACTGTATTATTGGCCTCATCCCGCAGTGTCTCCATCTGTGTCTCTACAGCTAGTCCGCTTTTGTGACCGCAATCATAAGTCATTGTAAGTCGATCATATATATATATATATTTGTAGCTGAGTTGTTCTTTGGGCTTTCAACAAATTTGGAAGATAATGTAAAAACTGAGATGATTCCATTATTAGTACGGGAACGATAAAGGAAAAATAAAAGATACTTTAGCCCACGACAACTAAATATCGCACTTATAACTGTATAACATACTGATTAATGCAGCTTTTACAGAAAGTAAAATTGGGAACACAACCATATATGACAACGTACATAACGCCTTATTCTGAAAATAAATACCGGAAGCTCAGGTCGTCTCCTTTGAGCTAACGCTAGCTTAACACTGGTAAGCAGCAGGTGACAAGTGGACTGGTTACGCCCGTAGAAAGGTCGTTTACATGATGAAAAAAGCTCTTAACAACTGCATAAACAGTTTACCCATATCTTGTGTGACCATTTGAAGGCTAATTCAGTAACTTTTTGTGTGCAGTTTTTCCAGGAACCGAGGGGCGAAAGCGAGTGTCAGAGGAACGTCACTGAGTTCGTTAAAGGCTGCGCTGCTTTCGGTGTGGAGGTGAGTTAACGTCACATGTAACGTTATTTATCAACGTACTTACTCCCTATGACGCCTTATTAATGCACGTACTCTGTGTGAGGCCTGGGAAACAGTTCGCACCGAGCAAACGCGGACATATTAATGGTTTATTCCACCTAAAAACGGACGCGTCCTGCTGTTTGTCAGTGACGTCACTGCTGTTAATGTTTAGCCGTTACTCCCGTTAAGGCACGAGCTGCAGGTATTGTGCCGTCTATAAATCAATACGACTGTGGGAGGAACATTTGTTTTTACAATAGTTGTTGGACTATATCTCTATATATCTAACCTCATTGATGTCATTTATGGTTGAATACAAACGGGTGATTGACGAGACCTTCTTAATAACGAGTTTATAAGTTGGAGTTGATGGCGTATGCGCTTCATCCAAGTTTTGTGTGTGATTTGGGATATTTAGTCCTAAAGCTCTCTCCGGGTCAGCACCATTCCCTTCCCAGCCGAGCCTGCTTTTTAGGATCCTATGAGCAAAGTGTGCTCCAGCGTTATGCGATGTGCAAAACTGGACCAGTTGTTGGATGTTTAGGAAGGCGTGCGCGGTGTCAACAAAGGCGGACGTAGCTTGGATGTTTGCACTGAATCTGCACATGAGCAGCAGGACGCTGCAGACATTTGAACTTGTTGAACTGCTGCGACGGTTTGACCCTTGACCCCGTGACCTTGGCGTGGAGAGCATCTCGCTCCAACCGTCTGAGCCAGCTGCCTGGCTTTTTAGCATTTGAATTTTGTTCTTGCTAAATTTACATTATTGGGGGCCAAACAAAAAAGACATTGCATTCGTTTTGGAAATCATCTTAAATGGTCATCTCAGATCTTTCGAGCGCAAAGCGTCACCTGACCCCGGGATCATTTTAACAATTCAGATGTGAAATGAATTAGCTGATAAGAAGTATACAGCTAATCAGTTTTATCACAAATATGATCTGTATTGTTACCAGAGCTTAAAAACACGCAGTAGGGTGTATGAATGTGTGTTTGCACTCAGTGGGTCGTGCCAGCTGATATCCGGCCCCATAGCGGGGTGTGCAGAGAAAATGACACCGCATACACACACACAGACACACACATTCATTGTTATGATACATGTAATCATAATGAAAAAGAGCAGATTCCACCACACAGGAGTCCTGGACTGGAGTCCTTTTTCTTAATAAGGTTTCGCTCCAGATTCACCTTCGATGCCCCTGCGAGCCCAGCGGCTGATAAGCAGACATGTAATGTAATGAGCGCGATGGCATTGAAACAACCTCCCGAATCCGTGGACGAAGGGAGCAATGGAAAGAAAATGTGGGTGGGTGGGATGACGTAACGCCACGCGCCAGCCAGTCTGTGTATTTCCCCATCGCGTTGATTAGAAACGCGCCAGCCGAGGCCCTCCATCGCCATAATTCTCCCACACGACACTCCTCGGACGGGCAGACGGCGAGCCAGACCTCCTGTCCAGCAGAGCGGGATTACGGAGTGACAGAACGAGTGCAGTGGAGGCCCGACTTCATTAACCGGGGCCGAGCAATTAATCAGATCCTAAATCTATCGCGTTAACTTAACCGGGTGGGATATTGATTGTGAGCGTTGTGTCTGCCGCGTTAAATCGAGCGCTCCCTGTTATCAGGTAAGCTATTTCCAATCACAGGGGTTCGTTTAAAGCGTGCTGGGATTATGTTGTCTCTGTTTTGTATAACAAGACTGCATCTGATGATATTTCTATTTAACTTGGATAAACTATTCAATGGGAATTGAAGATGTCAGGTTTTATTATATTGAGTTCAATGTGACGGTCATCTGCTGAAAGAACATTCTCAGGAGCAGTGATGCTAATTTGTTCTTAAAGGTGGCCAAATAATCTTCATGTTAAATAAGATGTTATTTAGAATGAAAGGAATCCGACACCTCATAATGCTGGGCTCCTAATCTACGTACAGGAAGAGATGTGCTCAGTCTTATTTTGCCAGCTGAGGTCATTCTTTACTTAATTATATATATATATATACATATTATTATATTATATGTTATTAACAACTATGTCCCGTACAACCAAATTCTTCAAGGGATCAATAAAGTGCTATTTTATTTCAATATCAACTGCACTTTCTTTCTCAATTAGTGAGGTATAATATCCTTCTCCTTTTGCTATCGTTGCGGCTGAATACCTAAAAATGTGTACGAAAAAAAAATCCCAAAGCGCTGGAGCATTTCCACTGCGGCAGTCCACGGAACGCCTCTCTTTGCGTCTGGGCCCAATGCCAGTGGGAGCGATGGAAGTGTGTGTTAACTGGTCCTCACTGCCCGGACTACTAATCAGCCCAAGGATGTAGATCAAATCAAGTGGGATCTTAGAAGGAGCGCTACATTTAAAGATGGCCAACGTTTTATCGCTGGATTAAAGGGACTTGCTCTGTCAATAATTAGAATTAGGATTTTCCGATGTTTCCTGCCGCCCTCAGTTTTTGGACTTTGGCATTTCATTTGAGAGGAAGTTTTTGTTTCACAAGTTTTTGAGGCGCACGTTGCCTCCACCTTCACACCTTGGTGGAAGTCAGTGTGTTGTGTACACAAGATTAGGGCCTTTGATTATGGCTGTGTGTGTGTGTGTGTGTGTGTGTGTGTGTACGATGGGATTACAAGGCTCAGACTTTGAGTAATCCTGCTCCAGACTGCAGTTGGAGCGAACCCCCACTGCCCTTAGCATTCCTTCATTTGCAGTCTGAAGTATGCTTTCATAATGTAAATTCTTAATGGGAATCGATTGAAGCTAAATAAGCCAAAACACACAGAAATGAGGGCAGCTGTGTGTCGTCTATGCGTTCGTTATGAATGTGCGCATGTGTTTGCTGTTTTGCTGTTTTTAAAATTAATCAAATTAATCGCATATTTTGTTTTCTCCCCTTAAGCCTTTTGAGGTGAATGACCTCCTGCAGGGACTGAACTTCTCCAAGGTCCTCAACTCCTTGGTTGCCCTCAACAAAGCCACCGAAGGTGAGATCAGTGTGTTTTTACGAGGAAAACCTTTCACGTCTGTAATCTTCTAATTTTCTTCTCCTTTGCTCCCTCTCTTCAGTTTGTATAAGTGCACTATGAGATTAATAGACTGTAATATAATTATTGAAAACAGTTCTAGTAGTGTAGGTGGTAGTATTAAATGTTATAATGTCCTTTTAACTCTACACTGTATGAAGTGACAATATGTTAATGAATGCGCTTTAGTTTAATTGTTAGTATGTCTTCTAATTGTTTAACTCCATCCATTGAAACACTGCAGATTTTGGTGTTTCTGAAGACAGTGTGTTCGTGCCGCCCGCCTCACACTTGAGGATCAAGTCCTTTGACTCTCTGAACACTCAGAGTCGCTCCTCCAAAGTGCTGCAGCCGCAGTACCGCAGCCTGGTGAGTAACCACGGCGACGGCAACGACACATCTGAGTAACGTCAGTAGCCAAACGCCGTCTGGGGTTAGAACGCCAGGGGTTAGTCCTTGTGCACGTTCTCCACATTGAGCCCCGTCTTCTTTTGTCTCCTCAGGACATGTCGGAGGGCAGCGCGTGTGGCCACGTGCTGTTCAGGGCGCGCTTTACTTTCCAGCAGACCAACGAGGACGAACTCTCTTTCTCCAAGGGCGACATCATCAGCGTGAGCCGGCAGGAGGAGGGGGGCTGGTGGGAGGGCTCGTTCAACGGCCGCTCCGGGTGGTTCCCCAGTAACTATGTGCGGGAGCTGAAAGGAAGCGGTGCGTAAAGCTCCGTTTGCTTTGGATGTTCTGCATCATTTATGGCTTGTTTTTATTCCTTTATTTATTTTTATCTTTCTGGCACAAAAGTGTATTCACAAACTTGCTCATGTTTGCTGATTGGCAGACTTGAGGGACTTGGTTCGTGTTGTCACTGAAAGGTCACAACCTTTTAGGCTTTAAAGCCTGCTCTTATTTTACACCTAGGACAGCGGAATTTCCCCCAGAATTATGAGGTCAATTTAGAAAACCTGTGTTCATCTGACTTTCTTGATCCATGTGCATGTGAGAGCCAAAACCTTCCTGGTGTTTTAACTGTGTTGCTTCTCTGAGGGCGAAAAGGCAGCGAGGGAGGAAGGAAGCTCCGCACGCACACAAAGACAGGAAGGGCCGGTTGTATGGAAAGGAACTTCCTGACTTAATGCTTGCAGCAGAAAACAAGGATCATGATAACAGCGCGCTGAGGAAGGGCAGCAGATGCACACGGTCGGAGGCAGCTGCTTTACAAATAAGAGAGAGACTGCTCGCAGTGGAGGGACACGCGGCCATGATGGCGATGAATTGTGTGTGCTCGATGTGCCTGTTATCTCGACATAGTGACATAAATCACCATAACAACCCCCAGTAATGCTTACTGGGCTTCTGGCTACATGCTGTAATGTCTCCAAAGTACAATGAACTGAAGGATATGACAGCATGCGCTATTACTGGCCGTCCAATGTTGTAGGAATAAACCGGACATTGAAATTGTGGAAATTTGTGGAAAAGTGTTTAATCATTGGTTGTCCTACATTTTGTAGAATACCTATTGACTCTTTATTGTAACTTTGTATTATATTGTCATAATAACTTGCTTATTTGTCCCCCTCTTTTCTTGGGTTATAGACAAGACATTAGACAAGCCAAAGTCTGGCGCCCTGAAAAGCCCCCCCAAAGGGTTCGACACCACTATCATCAGTAAGACCTACTACAACGTGGTGAGCATCGCCTGTGTGTGTGTGAGAGTGAGAGTCCAAACGGTCCTCCATTCCCACACCCTCTAGTCTACCAGAGCAGTTGAGAGTTAGGAACATAATTACTACTTTGAATTTAGAATTGTTGTACTTGAGGATACGTGTTTTTAGACTTCTGGGTAATAAATTCTAAAGATCTCATCATCAGAAATAATAAGTAAGAAAAATCTTCTTTGTTGTCCTCTGGTTGGACTGACCGAGTGACCCAAACGAACAAATAGTCCTCATGTGTGCTTGCCTCTGTACAATCAATCATTTTCCCCCCACACATCCAATTAATGCGCGTGTGTGTGTGTGTGTGTGTGTGTGTGTGTGTCGACTCGTGTGGAGCCTGAATGTTGCCCTTGTGTGAGAGTGCAGCAGATGTAATGTAGGTTATTTCTTCCATCCCACTGGTTTCTGGGGCAGCCTTGCCCCGGGGTTGGCTTGCATGTGTGTGTGTGTGTTAATAATGCAGCAGGCTGCGAAAGTCTCTTTAGACCGTCCTTCTTTGGTACCTGAGCCTCCCGCTCACAGACCTCGCCTGAAGTGCGAGCTGTTCCCGGATAAAAATGGGAAAAAGAAGATATAAATAAAATAGTTCTTATCTTTCTCCTAATGGACGGAGCAGAGGATTGTGTGAGCAGACGACGTAGGCTTTGGGCTCTTTAGGTTTGAGTGTGGTTTGATTAAGACCACAAATACCAAAGTTTTGCACATACTGTTGGCATTCTGGCATCCACTCTTTGCGATTTATGAAAAATAATTAATAAACAAAACGTTATGAATGCATAACTGGTGGTCCAGAATTGAGGGAATTGAGGGAAACAACTACTACTTGCTGCAGTGTTTGATTGGCTCTGTTTCATCCTTCACTGGGACCTTTTCAGTTATTTTCTCAACTAAACGTCAGGAAATAGCGAAAAAGGCCCATCGTAGCCTCGAGAAGTTGCAGAGCACACCTGGTGCACTAAGAGTGATATTGTCACCTACGATATATGAGTCATGGGTCAAATCTAACAGTGCTGCTATTTTAAATCTGCTCTCCAGTCCTTTCCCATTACTTTCTCCTCCCGTCACTCGCTGTATTTAATACAAACGTCTCCTTCAGGTCCTGCAGAACATCCTAGAAGCGGAGAGGGAATATTCGAGGGAGCTCCAGAGTCTCCTGGGTTCATACCTGCGCTCCCTTCACCCCACAGAGAGGTGCAGTTATTTACACACTGTTTATTGTTTGTTCCAAATGAGTCAGAAGTTCGAGGAAGCGACACCCCCCCCCACACACACACACACACACAGACGCCAGGATATCTATTGCAATACCAATATTATATCTCATTTTACGGAATATAACATTGATATTATATATATACTGGATGTGTCCTCTGTCCTATATTGTAGAAATAAATATTTTACAACCATCTTAGTATCCTTTTATATTAGAGCTCAAGTATAATGATTTATTTATGCTAGCCGTGTATTGAAAATGTCAGTGATCCATGTCTCCTCTCCGTGTTACAGAGTCAGCAGCGTAGACATCAGTCACATTCAGGGAAATCTGGAGGAGATCTCGACCTTCCAGCAGATGCTGGTTCAGTCCTTGGAGGAGCATACAAAGTCAGTGCATTACGTAGTGTGAACATACGATACGATAACTGGATTCATAATGCATTGCTGTAATCTTGTGGAAATATTTATAGAAGTCAGTTGTATTAACAGTTTACTTTTACCACTAGAAGATCTGTATTTCCACAATGATGTAGGTGTTTTAATTTGGCTTACGTAAATGTTGAGAGGATGGTTAATATTGCATTTGTGGCTTTTCTTTGTTTTACGACACAACCTTTAATACAGTTTGCCTTTGAGTCAAAAGAAGACATTTGGTTCCTGCCGTAACGGGATATCAAACCAAACCATGTCAGTGGAGTTTACTAATGGCAGTTATAAGAGCTCCAGAGACATCTAGTGGTCGACTGATGTACGTGTCTTGAGTCCTGTACTGATGCAGTCAATAGACCATACAGAGAGTATGTCTTTTTAAAGGGGTCGAGAAGATTCATATGTGTAGAATGTGCAATTATAATCTCATAATCTCAGACGCCAACTGAGAAAACTGGCCAACTGCTATTTGGATGGTTTGGTTAATCATTCAATGTTTGTTGCAACTTTTACATTCTTGAATACTTTTACGATCTTGAATGCAGCCTTTTAGGTGAATGTTGTTCCCTGTTTGGAGATTACAGATGTTTATGATTTAAACTTAATTTGACCTCTGTGTTACATTAATTACTCACTCTAATCTGTATTGTGTTGCGTAATTGAATGCCGACAGAGGTCATGATTGTCATGTGTCCGTGCAGACTCTCAGAGAAGCAGCAGAGGATCGGGGGCTTCTTCCTCAATCTGATGCCCCAGATGAAGCTCCTCTATGTGGCCTACTGCTCCAACCACCCATCTGCTGTCAATGTACTCATTCAACACAGGTACAGTCAGAGACGGGTTCTTTTGCACCTGTCGGTTCCTGAGGTGCGTTACTGTATCGTGTGTGTTTGTGTGCATCACAGTGAGGAGCTGGGGCAGTACATGGAGGCAAAGGGGTCGCCCACTCCCGGGATCCTGACTCTGACCACCAGTCTGAGTAAACCCTTCACCAGGCTGGAGCGGTACCCAACGCTGCTGAAAGAACTGGACCGGCACATGGAGGTGAGCTACCCGTCCCTCTGTGTTATCGTTCATCTTTCTCCTAAACTTAAACGTCTATGATAAATGGGGGAAGAAAACATTCTGTTTCTATGTTTTCTTTTTTCTCTTGTCTCAGGACCAACACCCTGACAGGGCCGATCTCGTTGCTGCCATGATGGACTTTAAAAACTTTGCAGTAAGATTCACACACTCATTAGACTTTGCAGTTCTTAAAAAGCGTTAAAAGTGTAAATGTTCTCCTCAGTATTCCTCACATCAGTCAAGTCAAGTCTCTTTACCGTTACGGCCGATAACTAAAACGCCGAACGAACAAACAAACTGTATTGATTCGAGTTCTTGTGCGTTTTGGTGCCTTTTGAATGCTTGTGTGTGTGTGTGTGTTCAGGCTCAGTGTCAGGAGGTGAGGAAGAAGAAGGATCTGGAGTTGCAGATTTTAACGGAGCCAATCAGAAACTGGGAGGGGGACGACATCAGAACTCTCGGGCCCGTCATCCACATGTCCCATTCTACAGTCCATACGCAGGACTGTCAGGTACCGACTCCGACGTCCAGGCGTGAACGCGCTCAGAGGTTCCAGAAAACTGAAAGGACAAAGTTAAAGGCGTTTCTTTGCTGTGGTTTTCCAGGAGTCAAATGAACGCTACCTCGTCCTCTTCCCTCACACTCTGCTCGTACTCTCTGCCAGCCTGAGGATGAGTGGGTTTATCTACCAGGTATGTGTGAACCTGAATCAGGATTTCTGTCTCCTCATTCCACTTGTTTAAAAGTGTGTGCGTGTGTCTAAAGGGAAGGCTGCCACTGTCAGGGATGCTCATCTCCAGAATAGAAGACGGAGAAAACCTGAGGAATGCTTTTGAAATTTCCGGTCAGCCCTTCCTCTCATTTCGCTTTCTCATTGTTCATATTGTCTGAAACAACATCAGCCTGACTCTCGCGCGCGCGTGTGTGTTTGTGTGCGCATGCGTGTGTGTTGTTGTTTTTCAGGTAGTCAGTGTGATCGGATGCAGGTGGCCTGTAACACTCAGCACGACCTACAGGAGTGGCTGGACCTTCTCACCCAACACACACACACTCCAGCCACGCACGCACACCTACAAAAGCCTCAGTCCGTCTGTCACACGGTGAGTCACCGTCGGTCCGCTTGACGTGGGCCCTGTTCCTCCTCCCGCTCCCCTGTGACCTCTTCTCCGCTCCTCCCAGTTACCTCCTCAGCCCGCCGCTCCGTCCCGGCACTCAGAGTCTCGGGGCGGGAGCATCGGACACGCGTACCACACCCTCCCTCATCCCCCGTCGTTTGGGGCGGCCCTGGGCTGCAGCCCTTCGTGGGGGGCACTGGAGCCGCCGAACACCCCGAAGCCCTGGAGCCTGAGCTGCCTCCGCCCTGCTCCGCCACTCCGGCCCTCGGCGGCTCTCTGCATGAAGGAGGTGACGTGCACAGATACTGAAACGTGTTGAGTGGATGATGGGAGTCCAAAGGTCTTTAGGTTCACCGATACGTGATACTTTTCTGAGTCCGGTTGAATTGGAATTGGAGCTGCATTCCTGCTTAACATATTATCGGTGCCGTTTGTTCACAGGATTTAAATAAGAGTCCTAAGAACATGAAGAAGCTTTTGCCGAAGAGGAAGCCAGACAGGAAACCTTCAGAGGAGGACTTCACTGTCCGAAAAAGTAAGCACGGAGCTCGGCAGTACTTCCCTCCGATGGTGAAGGAGAAAGGAGCCCATTAAATTAAAAATGGTTCTTTAATTCAATCTGTGCCACATGGTACTCAGGTGTCTCTATTACCTTCATATAGGCTTCTGTTACTTCAATGTATCCTTATATATATATATATCTATATATATATAGATATATATATTTAATTAGACATTTGTTACTCAACATGATTGGTCACGATAGACCAATAAATAGAACTGAGTTTATGCGTCCTTGCATCTGATCCGTTCTAGTTCCAAAAACGTGGTTTGATTCAACATACATATATACGTGTCTCTCAGGTACAGCCGCTCTAGAGGAGGACGCTCAGATACTGAAAGTGATCGAGGCTTATTGTACCAGCGCCAAGACACGACAGACGCTCAACTCCAGTGAGTGTACACACACACACACACACACTCGCACAGAGAGACACACATTGGCGTACTAACACTTGTCTTGTTGCTAGCCAGCATTTGTTCTCTGCTCTAACTATGTCTTTCTCTCTCTTCTGTTTTTATGTCTGCCCCTCCTCTCCTTTACTCGTCCATCCTGATTTTTTACTAACAACTCGTATGTTTGGCTTCATCGTCCTACTTTTGTTATGAATGTTTGTCTGACTTAATTTATCACACTTCATGTTTGCTTTTTTATTCCTGCATTGGTTCCCAATTTTATTTTATTTTTTTTACCGTTTACAACTCCCATATGGTTTACCCTTTCCCTCCTCCCGACATTCAATTTGGTTGGTTCAAACCTTGTCTATTGCTGGCACAGCCTGGCAAGGGACTGACCTCATGCACAACCACGTGCTCGCTGACTCCAGCCTCACCGTCGCTGTTGTCCCCGGCAACCTGCCTGGTTCTGACCAGTCAGAGGACTCGGATTATGACAGTCTCTGGACCGCCAATAGTTACAGGACTGCCTCTTTTTCCCGTAAGATATCGGTGTCGCTAAACACTGACGTGCTAAACGTCAGCTAAACACTGACGTGCTAGCGGAAACTTGCTAGCTTAGAACTAGGGACAGAAGAACAGGTATATAGATATATAGATTTATATATCTATATATCTTTCTTAATCTTTCCCTACTGTGCGTATGTGTTGTTGTGCAGTACATGCAGTAGATTCAGTAAACAGTGCAATATATTCAAAGGTTTAAAGTGGTGATTGACATTGTTGTCACTGTTCAATCAGGCTCCAGCAGGAAGGAGGTGCACATGTTGTTCCCAGAGGAGGAGAAGATCATTGTGGAGGAGACCAGGAGCAACGGGCAAACAGTAGTGGAGGAGAGGTGAGAGGGGACGTTGTGTTTTAATGTCTAGTATACCTAACAGGAGGAAAGGTTAAGCTCTGATTTTTGGAGAGCGAATAAAAGGCTCCATCATCAGTTTTTGAGCACACAAAACAGACAAATACAATTAGAAACAATTGTTAAAATGTAAAAAAACAAAGTATATGAAAGAGACACAAACCCCCAATTCGAGGAGGCAAAATGCTGATGGTACTTGACAGCTGGTCAGTCAGCGTGTGTCAGAGAAAAGCTTTTCTTTTCCTGCAGGAGTCTGGTGGACACTGTGTACAGTCTGAAGGATGAAATCCAGGGGCTCAAACAGGTAAGTCTGCAGTCTGACTTCAAATGTCCCTTTTTAAAGGGATCAAAAAACACCTTTTGAACAAACGCAACATCAACGTACACATTTTAGAGCTCCTATGGCAAGTAAAATGTTTTGTAAATATCTTTCTTCTCTACTCACCTGTCATGTCTTTTCTTTGTCTCTCCTCTCCAGGACAACAAGAGGATGAGGCGGACGCTGGAGGAGGAGCAGCGTGCGAGGAAAGAGCTGGAGAAGATCGTCAGGAGGGTTCTGAAGGACATGAACGACCCCACCTGGGACGAGACTAACCTCTGAGATCACGCGAGCCCTACGTCCAACTCGATTACGACCAAATGAGCCGCAATTCCACCTGCGTGGACAGAAGCTGCCAATTATTTATTCAACACGTCTTTGCCATTTCCACTTACTTTAAACTTTGCGGTGACCTTTTGTATTAAACTGCGAGAGAAAAACGCCTGCCAGACAACAGCAAAGCCATCCAACAGACCAAAAAGCTGTGAAGCCAAATTAGCTGGTATTTATGGTTACTGACTACTGTCACCTTTTTTTCCCTCCAGCACTCAATATTATGATGGTCAGAAGGTTTGACTTTTTAATGAGAGCACTAAACCAGCTGAGTCATTGATTTGCATTGAAAGCGTGCTGCATTCATTTTAGTTTTTCCTAACTTCAGGAGCTAAACTATACACAGCTTGCTGCTTTTTATTTTTCAAGACCAAAGTCCAAACAATACAACACTGGGAAATATTTTTAAAATGATTTTTACAATGTCAAAATGCAACTTACTGTGTAATGGTTTCTTATTTTTATATTTGAGGTTGTGTTTTTACTCTGGTTTTGATTTGTGACACTACTTATTTTCTACTTGACCTTTTTGATCACGCTAATGATGATCTGTGCATCTCTCATGAATGATGTGAGACGTGCCTTTGGGTGAATATGTGTATTACTGAAGGAAATTAGAAACCATCCTAATGGAAGCTATGGGATACAATTTGTCAGGTATTGACTCTTAATTTATATATTTAAATAAAAGTGACTGATGTTAATGTATTGTGTGTTCAAATGATGTAATGTGATGATGGTCATTACAGAAGATACTCTGACCAAAATCATCCCCCATCTATTTATTTCATTCATTCTTCTGCGAATAAAATGTTGAACAGTTGGAACTGTACTTGTCCCATTCTAGTAGATCAATAACTTTCCGCAGCTAAAAAATCATACGTACACCAACATCAGCAACATGCATGAAAGCATTTTTTCTTTACTTCTCCCGAAATATTAGTAATAATATTTCATAAACAAATAACAGGAAACCTGACCATGAAAGATGAAATATGTATTTTCTTGTTGAATTACCAAGTTCCATCATGTGAGTGAAACAGCGCCCCGGAGTGGTCGCAGTGGGGAATCACACCTCTACGTCTCCCGCTGAATGTAAGAGCTTCAAACAGCGCCCCCGTCGGTTTCTATGGCAATCAGTGTGGCCAGCATGAGTACTGCAGGCTAATTGAGTTCTCCCTCGGAATCCTCCCAGGTGGAAGTTGTTATCCGTTAATTAAACACAGTTAAGTATCAAACAATCACGCAGATTCTGTAAGACCAACACGACAGCGAACGGGCCGCTCGCTGTGAAAGAAACGCTGGAGCTATAGTTGTTATTACATAACAAACAGCGAGGTAATTTAAATTAAACAACCGTTTAGCTCTCCAGTGATGTTTTGCAGTGACGTCAGTGCTGCTCATGAGCGCGGCTAACGTGCTAAGCTAGCACGACTAGCAATAAATAAAAAAACATAATGTTAAAGATGAAGACTTCAATCAACATTCAACATTCATTGAAAAGTATGCTGTTGGATATCAGTGGACATCTCATTGACGTCGACAACAGATGTGAGTAGGACGCAATTCTGCTCGTTTGTCTCTTTGATGGCTGCTCCTTGCTGCTTCTTCCATCAAACCTAAAGTTATCTACTGGTGAAATAGAACATAACACACATCTGTGTTGTGCGATGCTCCTGCAGCTCATGGTCGGACCAGTGAGTTTGTTTGAGTAGAAAATATAAACAGTGTATAAAAACCCACGAGATGACATAAGACCACTTACAGTCAAACATTAACACGTGACATCACAGAGGCTTCAGTCAGCCACAGCGTGCTGGAGGAGAGACACAGCTGCCCACATGTATTCATCGTGAAGCCTTGTGAATATGATCTCCACACGTAGATATGTGATGTCTCACAATGCACCACTGACAGTTTCATGGCCGTCCATGCAAGATGTCTGTTATCAATCCGATCAATAACGTCACGTGGCTCAGTTTGCCATCAGGTTCCTGGCAGGACACCAGCGGAGGAGCATTCTTCCCGTAACAACGGAGGAGAAAGGAGGCTTTGTGGAGTTGTCCTTACTAAACTGACAAGGCCTTTTACAGCCTTTGATACAGGGCTGGCAGCCTCACACAATGGAAGGCATATAAATTTGCAGATGTCGTCTGGACGGCTCAAATGTCAACGCTTTTCACAACAACACCGGGGCCCTGCGAGGGGAATAATTGATTGGTTCACCTTTTGTCTCGAGCCAAATATTCATCCAGGAGGACAAAAACAAGAGGGCAAAGCCAAAGATAAAAGAGCATCTTCTTCAGTCAGCGTGTGCAGACGCTTTTTGTTCTTTTGAAGGATATTATTTGTCCCCATAATCATATTTTACAGGCCAGTCAGTGCTCGGGTACATATGATGCAGCGGCCCACTTATTGAGCATGCAGTCGCTGCTTTTCAGCCCGTCACAGTCCTTGCAGCCAAAACCGCATCTCTCTTTTTCTGCTGCTCGTGTTATTTCACAATGATATGAAGGATATGAATATTCAACATTCCTGTGTGAGAGGTCTCCGATCAGTTTCCTGACGTAGATATTCAGATCCGGACTTGTTCTTTCAGATTTCTCTACGTAGTGCCTGGCGTGCGGGGAGGGAGGACATCTCTTGCATATCTGAAGGACAAAACCTCTGCACCCGGTAAGCGCACCAGAAGTAACGGTGAAGCGGGGCGGACCTAAAAGAAGGAGCCAAAGTTTGAAAACAGGTCAAATCTCCGCAGCTAGTCAGGAAACGGATGAGTCCATAACACAGAGAGGTCTGCTGCGTGGGACACACACGTTATCCACCGGCCCATTGCAGATCAAATGACCTTAAACCCCAAGAACACACACATCCGAACTCCTCTGGAGCTGTACAGTAGCTTTCTGTCTCTTCGCGGTGCTCATAGCTGGTGATCATTTTGATTTGACTTGTATTGTTGTGTTGGGGCCGCCTCGTCTTTCTCCCTCTCTCTCCCTTCAAAGCCCCGTCGGGGAATTTTTCAGCCTCTGCAATTTTCATCTCCAGTAACTGAAAGGAGAGAGAGAGATGACAAAGACAACACAGGACTTCTCTCTTTCCCCGGCCTTGTTATTGTACAAAATAGCCAAGCAATAGTCTTTTTTTTGTCATTGGTTTACTCCTAAAAGCCCATTTGACGTCGGCCCTGAAAAGAAAGCAATAAAGAAACCTTTTCAGTGGCTTTGAATGAGCGAGAGAAGGAGGAATGAATCCCTTTGGGACGTTGCGCTCAGAGAAGCCTTTTTTTATTGTCTTTACGCTGGTAATCAAATGGAGCTGAAATGAAAATGGAGTTTTCTATGAAAATAGGGCCCTTTGTTGCCTTTGGACGGCTAGTAATTCATAAACAATAAGCCGGCCTCTTTTGTTTGGGTTATAATATATTCCTGCTGCTCTGAAAGAGGTCTCTCTCAGCGCACACTTGCACACACTTGCACACACACACACACACGCACACACACACACACTGGAACCAGGGTAAAAGCCAAAGCGAGGCAGCAGGGGAAGAGATAATATAAAAGGAGGCAGGGAGGAAGGTTTTCCATTCATCCTGCTGGCAGAGTGACGGCAGGATGCTCGAGTCCTCAACTCTCCATCTTCACCTCTCCCTTTCCGCGATGACTCACACCCTCGCACACCTCTTGGTCGTTTCGTCCCTGCAAAAGTCCGAATTTAAGGTTGTCGTCTCAGTCGGTCGACAGGTGTGTATGGAACCACTTTTAAAGGAAGAAGATTTTGTGAAATGATCAACGCATCTCTGGTTTTAGCGTTTTCTTTTCCTCATGCCACTTTTTCTGAATGTGTCGCTCGATATTGGAGGATGACAAGAAAAAGAAGACGGACAGGAAGACAGAGAGGAAGACGAGACGTGAGTGGACAGAAAACCTGCAGCGCGATGGGAGCACATGAAACTCCCACTGAGCAAAAACAAGACTCTTTTTTTTCTTCTAACTTGAGTGAGGAAACACTTCAGCGTGGAGCATCATTTGTGTTCGTCAACCCAGAGAGGACAACGGCAAGGATGTTCTGCACAGAAGGACTTTATGGGACGATTTACTTTATACATATACAGTACGTATTAGATATACTAAATAATTACGCCTGATTGGGGTTGTTGTTGTTGGACCCCCGACTTACAACAGCGTCCCTTCCTGTCTGGATCAATCTGCTGTGTCTGCACGCAACCTTCCTCTGAACTCTGCACATTTACATGCATGTGGATATTTACATAAATATGGATTTGGATGGAGCCAACATGGTGTAAGTACAGCATTTTTTATATTTCATGCTGTACTCTTAATTTTAGCATTTCTTCACTCGAATGTTTAGTCATTAGTCACCAAAGGACTCTTATTTCTTCAGCTGTGGTTCATTTCATTGAAACAATTTTCACACCAAAAACAGAGCCGTTGTTGAGAGTTCGTCATGGGACAGTGTGTGTTTTTCAATCTTATTTGTTATCCGTTCACCAGTGTGACAAATTAATCGGCCGTAGAGGAGAAATACCACAACATTTCTAAAATGTGAAACAAGTGTTGTTGCCTGAACTTAACCATAAAATACACCCGTCGTGCTCACAGCTTAAAAAAAGTCCTTTTAGACACATGCAGCCACGTGCTTCCTAAAGCAGGCGCTCCTCGGTCATGTGACATGGGGGGCTATGTGGGTGTGTCTTTGGATGGGTTTGCATGAGGCCCTTTTTTTTTCACCAAGCGTCTCAGTGCATCCAATAATAGTTAAAGAAATAATCCAAGTTACACTACGAGACAGCCACCTTCACAAGTAGACCCGGCGCGGTGGACGGCAAAGATGGCGGCAGAGACCACAGCGAAATGACAACTAAGTTTCAGGAGAAAAAGACTCAGCAACAACATTTGCATAATGAATGAGCTGACTCCTCTCTGTCGTTTGCACGTCACGATGGTCAGCTGGTCCAGCTGTCGATCTTTTTCTTCCTCCGCTGCAATTTAGCTGCTACTGCTTGCAATTTATTTTTAATGAAATGATCTCTTAATTTTCACTAATCTTTAAACTGAAATGTATTTAATGTAAAATAAACCTTGTACAGTTTCAAATAGAAATGTCACCATGTATTTATTTGTTAGAGCGTTAAGATAATTCCTATTCTGGACCACCCAGAGGCTCTTTTTGTCAGTAGACAGATGTTCAGAGGCTGAGTGAGGAACAAACTCTCTTTAGTTTATGTTTTGCTGTTGCATTGTTAGAATAAAGAAGAAGGAGACAGTGTTTCTACCTCCTGCAGTCTGGCTTCATCATGAACTCTGGAGTTACAAAAAAGACAGTGGGTCGATGCACCTCTCAATGAGAGTTTAGATGGAAAGAACAATCCTCAAACAGCATGACTTTGGTCTTTAGGCGGCTTTGAGGGAGACTTAAGAGAGGCCGTCTGGGCGGTGCTTCAGATGCTCATTATCAGCTCCTTTTAAAGTCATGTGCTGTACACGCCGGCCTCGTGGTAATGATGATGGACTCACGTGTTGATGTTGGAGATGAAGAGCAGCTGTACCTCCTGATGTAACCACTAGAGGGCAGCAGCGTCTAGCAAACAGAAACTCAACTCGCCGTCTCACTTCTCGTTTAGTTTTCAGTAAATGCAGATCTTTTTGTCCCCATCAGGTCATTAGATTTAACTTGGTATTTTTTTGAGTGCAAGGTATTTCTATTAAAATCATAAGTATAATTTAGTTATTGTGGACTGGATAAGAAACGGGTTTCATCTACTTCTGTAGCTGTGGCTTTTTTTTACTTCTGAGTAAATATTTGCCATCCAGGAAAAATGGCGTCACGCTGAAATATAACAACTTATTAATGATTTACAGATAAAGAGCTTTGCTTCTATACTTTTCCTTTTAATTGTGCGGCTGTGAAGAACGGGAAGAGTCCACCAGGGGGAGCCTAATATCCACCTTACAGCTGATGGATGCACAGCTTTTCCTCCGTGTGTGTCAAACGCGTGCAACATCTGTTTGACCGACTGACTGACTGAAAGAATCCAAAAGTCCTGTTTTGTCTCCTGCGATTGTGCGTCCCACTTTGATGTTTGGTTGTAGTGCGTCTGACTGGCAGAAGCGGCAGGGCGGGGGACGAGTATCAGACGATGCTCAGCGCTAGTTTTTCTTGCTGATTTTGTAGAATTGAATTAACTATTTTGATATTTAATTTGATGGGGAAAAAGTCTCATCATTTGACTTTGAATGTTCACATTTTAAGTGTTGCTATAATTAATTCTTTGAAATAAAAATGTATATATTGAAAGAGTTAACTTGCAGGAGATTTTATCTGCTGATCCAATGTGTGCAAAAAGGAGAGATAGTTAATGTTCCAGATGACACTCCGCAAATGAGACGCACAACAAATTCCCAATTTTGACCAAATTACCCACAAACCCAACAAACTACTTTTCAGGTTTAAATCATGCATACTGGTTGATTCTGGTCGCACATTGTAAACAGAAACATCCTGTACGGATGTATTTTTTTGGAGTGGAGAGATATAAGCAGGCAGATGTCCCTCACTCGACACGATGCGGGCGCAGTGCCATTTGTTCTAACTGGACCTTAATGGACCATTACGTGAGTCTCGACCTGTTGGTTCGCCGTCAGCTTCACTCTTTGCAGAGACTTGGGAAGGAACTTGTACGACGGGAGACTCTGGTGTCGTCCAAAATGCTGCCGGGGGAGAGTCAGAGCTTCACGTGGAAGTATTTAGTCAATTAAATTCCAGTGAGAAGAAGCATGTCTCTTAACTTGAAACTGCAGAAGACCTGAAGCATATTTACTGACCATGTAGAGCCTTTGCATCCGTCTTTCAGACCAGAAACACAAATCTTAGGAATGCAAACCAGAATGTAATGGAAGAAACTTCAGGTCAAGTAAATAAAGAAAAAGTCTACAGCAAGATTATGTAGTATGAGAACTGTTCATCGCTGTGTGAGATGAAGACATGGTGAGCCTTCAGCTGTTTTTGTGGGCGGCAGAAAAAAGGTGATTTTATGCCTATGGTGTCTTTTTGAAGCAGCAATAATTCAATCACGTCCTAATTTTGCAAATCTTTTGTTACTTCTAAAGAAACTGACGTGAGATTTCTAAACAGCCCAAATGTCCCCTTAAATAAAAGTTTAACCCCGCTCTCCAAGGTGCTATTTCTCTCGAAAAGCAACGATGAACAATTAAAACCAAAAACAGCTAAATCAGCCGCCGGCGCTACTTTTAAGTGGCGTAAGAGGAGCCTTCCCAGGAACTGAATTGCCTCAAAGTGCCCGGCTGCTATCATACCGCATTAATGTGATGGATTTCCAGCATTCTGCATTCATTCTCCACGCAGTCGACGTGGGAGCTGACGAGCGGTTGCGGCGAGTGGGCCTCCAGCACGGAGCGGGCGCTCGCCGCCTCTGACTCAGGAGCAAATCCAGTACATTTATGGAGAGATTGCGCACTTTTCCTTCGCCCAGTTGTTTGCCATTCAGCTCGCTGATGTTGTTGAGTCATAGTTAGTTTGTGCTGACAAGGGGCAAAGGTCACTTTATCTGTGTTTGATATCTCCGTGATTGTTTACAGTACATGAATTCTACTAGACTTCTCTTCTTTTGACTTGGTGTAATTTGTGTTTCTGTTTGGGCTCTGCTGGCTTGCATGAGACAAATTTAAATATTTCTCTTTTGTCATCTTTGTCATTGTCTCAATTGCATCTTTCATTAGGGTTCCCCTGCCTAGTAAATGTCTTTTATGACTCTGGCTTTGTTTATTTCGTCAGGCTTTCAAAATAGAAAGCTCTGTCTCGATGCGGGACAAGCGGTGGAATGCACCTTTTTAAAACCCCCGAATACAAAGGAATGGCCCTGACACAGGTGTGTGCCTCCTCCAACAAATGCGAAATCTAATATCTTTAATATTTAAATAGAATTACTAACCATTCACAAGTAAGCGCTCCTCCCATCGCCGCGCCGCCGCCACCACGAAGGAACTAGGCCGCCATCGTTGCGCCACAGCCGCCGCCACGCAGGACGCTCAGCCAGTCACACCAACTCCAGAGCAGCTGTGTGGTTTGCTTCAGGGGAGGAAAAGGGATCGCCATTTTCTTTAGGACGTGTGATGATTACGTGAACATCCAATCGAGTCTGTTTTCTGAAATTTGCTGTCCAAGCTGCTCTTTCTTTGTCTTTTATCTCCTCATAATGTAGTGTCACATCTTTTGCACAATTCACAGCTATTAAACCACAGATGGTTTCCAGTTTAATACATTACCAGATATTTTAAATTGGGAATTTGGTTTTGGACTGTGGACAAAAAAGTCAATTGGTCGAAGTCACCTTGGGCATATTTTTCAGGAATTTCTGGCATTTTAAAGTGGATAAAAAAAAAAAGTGACACTAAAACTAATAGTTGGAATCAGCCCTCGTCGGTAAAACGATCTCCTCTCCCTGTAAAGGCTGCTTAAACCTCTCTCCCTATTAACACTTCTGACGAGGCCTCCCAATGTCAACTAATAGCCCTGCTTTGCCCTGCATTGCATTCAGCGAGCCACCAGTTACACTGTCAGCTCCGTCCCTTAAGCCCCCCCAACAGCGAGTGAGACGGAAGAAATCAAAAGCCATTCTCGCTCAGTCGATTTTCAATTTCTATTTCCCCAAATCCATAAACGGCGCACTTAACACCGGACCGCGAGCTGGGTGGGCAGCGGGGTCACCACGGTCTCGGCGGGTCAAAGTGGCCTTTTGTCCTCCGAGCAGCGGCGGAATGAAGGTCCGCGACTCAGCCGATGTGTTTCACGCCAATCTTTTCACAGGGAACAAAGTTGTTTTTTCATTCCTTTAAAAAGCATCAGGGGGACGTTTTGTGGGAGTCGTCGCTCAGCAAAGACAAATATCTGGTTGCATACATTGCCGTCGCGTGATTAAAATGCACTCGTGGCTGTGTGGCAATAACCACGAGGGAAAAGCCTCTCCAGCCACGTATCATGGCTGTCTCACAACAAGCCTCGCCTCAAAATAATTTCTTAATCCATTAATTGGCGTGGAGCGGCATTCGGGGCAGGGCTTTTTGTTCAATATGTTTTTCAGAGATGCATACTAATCATATAAAGTGATCCTTTGTGCTCAGGTTGACAGGAGCGAACAGGGCTTTTAGACGCACACACACACACACACACACACACACACACACACACACACACACACAGCCAGAGGCATGTGTCTGGGAGCGCCGCTGGCAGAACGAGTGTATTATTTTCCCTGAAGAGTG